GTATTGTAGATTTTATAAGCATTCCAACAGATTAAGTAAATATTGACACAAGTTACTTTTACAAGTCAATCCATAGCCAACAGTTTTTTTTACAAGATGAGTTATGATACTTATTCCAATTCAAAGAAATATTTTGTGGATTTTACAAGAATATATAAATGGTCTGATCAAAATAGATTTGTATAAGAGATGATCCATATAACAATCTGGAATTTTCAAACCCAACAGGTCATTCACCCCCCCCCACACTCACAAGTACAGTAATGAAAGGACATTGATCTTTTTATCTATTAAAAAAAAAAAAAAAATTACATTGACCAAAAACCAAGCAAGCTATTATCTATCAACTTTATTAGAAGTAGGGTTTGAAATGCTCTTTAGCCCAAGAAGGGATTAGAAAGATTGTTTTTTAGTTTTTTTTTTAAATCAGATTTTGGTAAGTGGATCAGGTAGAAACTTTGTCAGCACACCCACATAGAAGAGCACAATGACGTACCATGAAGAAACAGCTTAACAATAGTTTAACTGAGGAATCAATATTGACACTTCCGTATTTTCAAGGTGGCATTGTGATTATTATTTTTTTCTTATTTCTACACAGACATGGGTTTCATTAAAAAAAATATTTATCTCTTATGTATCTCATTTTACCTAAATCAACAGAAATACTAAAGGCGCACATAGTACCCTTCCACACCAAATTATTCTAAAATTGTGTGTGTGTGTGTGTTATTTCTGATACTACTTTTAATAACAAAAACTAAAACTAATATACAAATATACAGTTGGAAGTCACACATCATTGGTTGACTATTTTCAGTCTCAATAGTTCACTACTTATCTTGTGCCCACTTTATGCAAAGTAGCCAAAACAAACCTGTTCCTGGGGATCCTATTTTGAATGCAGTACTTTCCTTTGCTTTAAAATAAGTAGAGTTAGTAGGAATAAACAGATACTTGTAAAATATGCCAAAGGAATTGATCATTTTTTTTTTGTTGCCAAACTGTAAATATATGTAGGTTCCTACATTTCAAAATTAGTTGGACATCATATACCATTTGTGTGGAATGAAGAGTAGATATGCTGAATATCCGTCAATGGTGAGTATCAAAGTTTAATATCCTTTAGAAACAAGTTTCAGTGGGGACTCAGAATCCTCCATAGGTCAGGAGATTGGGGCACCCATGTTATAACACTCACCTGCTTCTCATCAAAGTATTCCTTCATCAATTTTGATTTGTGACAGGGAGCATTATCCTGCATAAAAATGAGCTTGGTGGGGTCAATTTACACTCTTTCAGCAGAAGGGAGCAGACAAGACTCTAAAATTCTCTTGTACTGCTCGCTCCTCAGGGTCTTTTCAATCCTTGACTTTTACAGTTATCATGAAGAATATTCATGGAGCATTCTTTTATTTAAAAAAAAAATTGACAACCTAACAATATTTTTCTTTATTTCTGTTTATAAAAAATGTATTGGAATTGTGCAAAAATGTTCTGCATATCCAAGTACTTTCACTTATATTCTTCTAACTGAATGTGTAGTTTCTTATGCACGTGTCTAAAGTTATAAGATGTTTTATTTTCCAACATGGCTACAATGTGCTGACCATGTTTGGAAAATAAAACATTCCTATAACTTTAGATACACACATAAAAAAAAAGGACACAAATTCAGTTAAAAATAAAAATCATCCTTGATAATGGCTAATAGAATAGACGAAAGCGCTTGGATATGCAGAACTTTTGAACAGTTTTTACACACTTTGTATCCAGAAAAGAAAACACTTGCATGAACACAAGAAAAATTAAAATTAAATAAATAGCTTAATCACAGAACCTTGTTTGTCCTCTTTAACAAAACTAGTATAAAAGAGGGGGTTGATGTCTAAATATATATATATATATATATATATATATATATATATATATATATGCGAATTGATATATATATATATATATATATATATTGCGAATTGAGTCACTGTCGGTCACTGGGCGTGTTTCTAAAAATAAACGCAAAAAAAATCCACTTTCATCCCTACCGTGCCGACGGCTTAATGGTTAGAATCTCCGACTGACACTAATTCAGTGGGTTTCGATCCTAGCTAGAGGCAGCGGGATGTCTATTACACTGATGAGCTGTGAAACAGCGAAACGGTCTGTCTGTGGATGACGTTATATTGGCTCCTGAAATATCAATTTCAGTTGAGCTCTCTGGGGATGAGGTGTGGGTTGGTAAACAGTGACTATTATAGCTATATAGCGAGACTCTTCTCGAATCGAATTGAGTCACTGTCGGTCACTGGGCGTGTTTCTAAAAATAAATACGCTAAAAAAATCCACTTTCATCTCTACTGTGCGCCGACGGCTTAATGGTTAGAATCTCCGACTGACACCAAATCAATCGGGTTTCGATCCTAGCTAGAGGCAACCGGATGTCTAGCCACACTGATGAGCTGTGAAACAGCGAAACAGTCTGTCTGTGGATGACGTTATATATATATATATATATATATATATATATATATAAACACTTTTCACCAAGTGCACAGCTACTACATTAATCTTAGAAATGGCAATCCATACATATATAACCCAGTTATTTTCTAGGGTTATGTTAGTTTCTGTATATTTATTAAAATTAATTCTTCTTGTCATTTCTACTCAGGTGCTAGCTTAACATAAACACTCAGTTATTCCAGGGTGTGAGAAACAGACTATCAGTTGTTCTAGAATTTACTCTTTGTATCCAAGAATGAAGGAGCCTTTTAGTTTTCCTCTCATATTTTATTTTCTTCAGGAAATTCCAATACTTTAAGAGTTTTTAAAGGAGCTAATTAAAAAATGGCTCCAATTTAGTTTTACGAAAAGCAAGACATTTGAAGTTAAAAACAAACATTTTTTGAGGATAGAAGATTTTACAAGAATCAAACAATGTGACAGGTAACAGGAGTTAAAAGTCAGATGCTTACACCTTATGCTTATAACAAATGTCCTCAAAAAATAAACCAAAAGAATCTCTTGCCAGTAGTCAAACTATAGATTTTATAAATACACAAATGGACAGATTACTGTAGATATTCTATTTGGAAGACAATATGAATATCCTAATAGATATTTGTGCTCAAACCAAACATGTTAGTGTGACATCTTTAGCAAATGAGATGTCTGCAGCTCACATACAGCACCTTTTCCCATGATAGCATCTTGAAAAAATAAATCTGTGTGAATGAAAGCGTGTTTTTGGTAATGTACACGTTGAAAAATCCTGATTAGGTTCTGAAAGAGTGTGTCTAGAAAAAAAAAAAAAAAAAAAATCACCCCAAATTTCAATAAAATATCAATTATTATAATAATACAGTGACAAGACAAGAAATTTAAAAAAAAAAAGAAATTGTAGAATAAAAATTCTGTAACAGAAAAGCAATTTTGTTTTGATTGTCCACCCATTCTTTGCAGTAACTTTGTGTCCAAAATGTTCACATTTTGTAGACTTGACCCTTACTGACAACAGGCAGATTTGTTAGCAAGCAAAGATTTTCTCATTTCTTTATAACTCAAAACAAAATGAATTTTGGTGATTGGTGCTGATGAGATTCAGTGTATTCTGCTGAAGATGACCAGAAAATAGGCTGATCAAAATATTCCAAGCTTTAAACAACAAATGAGTGCACAGTCGAAATAAACTCTTATCATAAGGGTGGGGGGGAGTTTATTTCAAAATCATTTTTTTAACATAATTACATAGATTTCCATTAGAACTTTTCTTTTTTTCTTTAACAGTTAAAAGGAACAAATACTTTAAAGTAACAATATTGCAAAAAGAACTTTGTCAGAGATAATATTTTTAGGTCTTTTCATCACTGCACATAAAGTAAATAAAAATAAATTAAAAAAAAAAAAAAAGAAGGCAGATCAAAAAAGAACAAAATAAAAAGGCCATGCAAAATAAGAAGCAAAAATTAAATATTTTTTTTTTTTATACAAATGCATTATTTATTTACTCTCTAAAAAGCAAAGCACAAGATTTTTTTTTGCTGACATGTATAATTAGAATCAATGAAAATATTAGAAAATAATTAATTTAATTTTGACTGTTAACAATTTTTGCTGTTATTCAAATTTTAATTTTTAAGATCATCGAGAGTATATTAAAAGTACTTTTTGCAATATGAAACCAGTCATACATTTAAAAAAAAAAAATTGTCTTTAGTATTAAAAAATGTTTTTATGGAGAGTTTATCTTTTCTTCCAATTTATTTTTTTTTTTTTGAACATCTTAAAATGCCGAAATTGGAAATTGATTCCTCTGTCAAGAAACTGGTCCGTCCTTACAGAGGTTAGCTAAGGAGTCAAAATACAAGTGAACAGCGATCTTACTCTGAAGCAAGTACGGCAGCAAAATTTAAGAAAAAAAAAATTTTTTTTTTTTTTTTTCAAATGAAGCAAATATTTAACAATTTAAAAAAAAAAAAAAAAAAAAAAAAAAAAATAGTGGGTGGTGTCTGTATCATTTGTCCGTCAGGGTTAGGCTACGGTAGACTGTTTGTCCACAGTCCGATTGAAACGGCCATAGCACAGACATACTGGTCATTGGTCAATTTGTTTATTCTGAGGGCATCAGTGTTGCTATCAAAACTGAGGCAAGTCATCATACTTCGAATTTGCAGGATTTTTTTTTTTTCCTTTGTTGTTTGTCTATTTTTTGGCTTTTCCTTTTAGTTTTTAGGAGTTTCTCCACCCACCCCCCACTCTGCCAAGGAAGATAGGTTGGTGGGAAATATGGAGGTGGGGATGCCACTTTGCATAGGTGTGGCTAGTGAAAGGGTGTGAGTTGAGAGGTGGGTGAATATACAGTTCTATCCCCATTCTTCTTCTCCAAGTTTCTTATTCTTTACATCCTCTGCCTCCTCTTCTCTTCCATCCTCCTCCTCCTCCTCCTCCTCTTTAACTACTGCTGCTGCCATCTTCCTCTCTTTCTCCTCCCAGTGACATGACTAGAATGAACCCCCCAGACTTAGCACATCGAAGCAAATGTCACACACACGAACTGGCTTGCTGAGGTTGTACTTGACAATTGGCATGTCTCGAGTTGAGCATTTGGCACACAATAATCGACCACAATGGCGACTGAAAATAAAATTAATTAAATAAATAGACAAAGAGAAAATCCATTTTCATTAGCAGTCACACTTGTGTATAAAGTTTTAAAACTACAATTCTTTTATACAAAACTAGCAGCATGGCCCGGCATTGCCCGTGCTTGATTCAAAAATCATACGACTCATACAGCAATTGCTATCACTTGACTTAAAATATTTTTGCCCTTACTTGCCTTTAAAGGAGTGCCCTTTGCCGTCCTAATGTTGCTACATGCCTTACTTCTTGCCTATCTCACACTGCGAATTTTTTCTAAGCTCTATACTATACATTAAATCTGTTACGAAAAAAAGAACTAAACAAAATGAACACAAAACAATCAGCTTTAAAAAAGGACTCATAACTGGAAAAACCCGAATGAAAAAAGAATGTTAACAACAAATACTTTTTCACACCCAACCCAGTTCTGCAGAATCAGAATCAACGTTGAGTTTAAGCAAGTGAATGAGACAATTGGAGTAAAGTGCCATGCAGATTTAAATTTTTCCCACTTGTGACGAAGGCAGCTATTGATTTTTTTTTTGCATGCTAGCATGCTAGTTAACATTCATGTCAGTCAACTGTTGGCTCTCATGCTGGCCAATAGAATCTTCCTGCCTATTCGTGGCAGCCATCTATAGGCTCTCACTCTGGTCAGTAGAAAATGGCCGCAAACTACATGAAAACTGCCGTAGAAGCATGAAAAAATCGATTATTTCCACTATCGATGAGAGTTGAGAAATGCAAAGTCTGTCTTGGCCTTCCCGCTAACTTGGAGCATGTGCATGTAAATTTTGGTGCAAATCCGTCGAAAATTGCGGCCGTGCATTCGTTACACATGCACACACACATCCTGCCTTTTATAGATAGAGATGGTGGGATTCAACCATTTACAAAACAGTGTGAATTTCTGGTTGAAATTCCTGAAGATTAGCAAGTACTAGGTGTCACTCTAACTTTCAGATATGGAAATATTCATCAGTTACTACCAGTACATGTCTTCTTCTATGTGCCGTGTCCCTTCAGGACGTGGATGATTATGGCTCTCCGCAACTTCTTATTTTGTAATTCTTAACAATGTTTGTCTTTACTTTGCCTCCTCCTCCAGTTTTCCCCATCCATTTACAAATAAGTACACACCCTTCTTCATCAGTACTACCCTCTCTGTGAAAGCATTCTGATCATGTAGTACATGTAGCAATGTAAAACTAGTGGATGATGAAGAACATTAACTTCTGGAAAAAACATTCAGTTATCTGATGTCAATGTTCTTAGCACGAGCTTATTTTTTATGGAATTGAGAAAAAGAAGCAGTTTATATTGTGCCATAATGAGGAAGGAGGACTTGGAAAATCTGATACTCACAGGACAGGCTGAGGGCAAGAGGGACAGTGGAAAACAACACATAAACATACTTGATGAGCTTAAGTAAATGGATAGTGAAATAAGGTTTAGGAGAAATAACAAAAAGACAAAATTAATTAATAGCTACAAAGGACAAGAAATTGTGGAGAGCCATGAACACTTACATCCTGAGGGGAGACATGGCACAGAAAGAAAAAGATACCATCATAAGTTTTCCTACTTTGATTCAGCTGATAAACTGTGTCTGTTGCTCTCTCTCATCTCCCAAAATAAATAAATAAGAACATCAATATTTACATTAGAACTAGTGTCCTTATCATTGTTATTATTATTATTATTATTGTGCTTGTCGATCCAGGTAACCTACAGGTAATTTCAAATTGAACCCTTTATTCAATATATGGAGGTAGATTGTTCTTGTTCCACTGACCATGTCTGATTTTGTTATTTTTAGTACTGCACAGTCACTGTCCTGTTTCCACTGAGTCACTCTGCACTACCCAGGCCAGGGATTGAACTCACAATTACTGTCACCAATTTCAAAAACCAATACTTTAATTCACTAAGCAATTGTCCTCAATTTAAACAACAAAATCTTAAATCTAGAAAGAATTCTTCTATCATTTGACAAGCTTCTAATTCAGCAAATGAATAAACTTTATAATTCCACTGAAATCATTAAGAGCCACTAACAGTCATCAAGCATAAAGGCAGTGGCAAAGGATCTTATGTCCAAAAGCAATTCCAATGAAATATGGTTTTCTCTTCCTTTGACAAGTCCTGCTATTCAACATAAGGCTTCACTCATAACCATTAATCAGCACAAAAAAAGTCAATAAGCAGTAAGTTTGAATTCATCAGTTACATTTTACTAAGACCATCATGGCACTGTAAGTCAAACAAAACTTTCCCCTCTTTAAGTGATTATTTTACTTACCAATGATGCTTCCGAGTTTTGATGCCAAATTTGACTCCACATTCTAAGCAATTTTCTCCATCACACCAGGGTGGCTCTTTAGACAACATGTCTTAGAATTGAAGAGAGGGGAAAAATATATAAAACTATTAATTAGAAGAATTTTAAAGCAGATTTGAAAAACAAAAGGAAAAGTCATTTGAAAACTGAAAACTTTTGGGACATTGATATGATGCTGATAACAACCCAATTAGGAAAAAAACCTGATATATACTTTGAAAAAAAAAAAAAAATCTCCTTTTAAGAAAGACTTAGCATTGAGCAAATAAAATCAATGTTTTACAGCAATTTTTAACATCAACTTGAGTTTTTTCTTGTTAAAAAGTTTAATAATTTTAACACATTAAACATTATGGATAAAAAATAATTAATTTCATATAGTGTTTTTTAACATGAACAAAACAAATTTATGGATTTGGAGAAAAAAAATAAAATCCACCAAAATTTTTCATCCTTTAACAGCCTGCTGTGCTTAGTTTAATTTGTAATGTATATAAAGGTAGGTAGAAAAAGTAAATATTGATAAGATAGTGAGGGTCTTAAAACACTGCCTGGGTCCTACAATCAGCCTATTCTCAATCTCATTTGGTGGTGGGGGAACGTCATTGGTAGTATGCACTAGACCCATGTGTGTGTAAAGGATTTTCTGAAAAACTATAAAAGTTAAGACCATATATATTTTGAATCAGCATCACCCAGAAATGGTTTTATATCATTTGTACCTAGAACAATTAGAATTTCACACAAAATCTAATTGTAAGGTCAAATTGATACTTTTATTAAGCATTGTTTTATTTTACTTTTTTGGATGCTTTGAGAAAATTATTTCAGTTTTGTCACTCACAAATTGACATTTGTGTTTCATAACTTAAGATTCATATTTCTTTTATTTATTTTTTGTATATTGGGCTCAACTCAAACTGCTTCAAAAATCAGTGGCATAAAATGAGTATATATTTCAGTCATTTTTCCCCACAGTAGGTTGCCATTTCTTTCTGCAGTAGACCAGTTGCCATCCAAGGCTATAGAACCCAGTCTGCCTTGCTATTTACCAATACCTGGGGGTGGAGAAGAAGAGGATTCATACCTTTCCCAAGGGTATTAGCACATAAGTGAATGTAATGGATTCAACTGGAATTCAAACTCAGTATATATATACAAGGAATCAGTCAGTTATGTGCCATGCGTGATACACGCTTAGCCAATCATGTATCTTTTGATACATGACTGACAAGGCAGATTTTTTCCCGCAGTAGATTACCATTTCTTTCTGCAGTAGACCAGTTGCCATCCATGGCTATAGGACCCGGTATGTCCTACTATTTACCCATAGCTGGGGGAAGAACAAGTGGATTCATACCTTTCCCAAGGGTATTAGCACTTAAGTGAATGTAATGAATTTGAATGGAATTTGAACTCAGCTCTCCAATTCCTAAATCTGAGCCACTATCCATTACTCCACTGTGCCTCCTTTATATATTTAATGATTTTAATTGAGAAGTACACTATTGTCTAACAATATAGCATTGTTGATAAATATTTGCAATATTGAGCTGTTACAGTTCCTTGGCAGAGTCTGTCATTAAAAGTACCTAACTCAAAACAAAATTTTTAATTCATAACTGAACATTGCCAGGTTTACAGATGAGGCGTGTGTGTGTGTGTGTGTGTGTGTGTGTGTATGCATGGTGGTTTAGGGAGATATACATCTATTTTTTTGGTACCACAAATAATTAAAAGAGAGTATTTCTAATGCTGATCTTCAAAATAAGGCAAGCTTTAAGATTGGTTGAATGCAATCTTCTTAGCCATCCTGCTCTTTGCTTTTGCTGATCTAACCAATTTTATTCACGCATGCAGTGACAGAACAAAAAAAGGTTACAGTTTGTTCTTACCTAGTAAATTGAAGAGTAACTGTTTAGAAGCCACTGTGGCATTAAAGATGCTGCAGCCATGTCTACTGGTTGCTCCTAAGCAGGCATTGGCTTTCACTAATGCTCGACACAAGGTTCCATTCCCATTTATATAAGCTAGTAACATGGCTGAAAAAGGGAAAAAAAAATGCAAATGACAAAGACTAAGGCTTAGCAGAATGATTTTGAAAACAGCTTTGCTTGAAGATTGAAAAAACATTATGATAAATCACTCTGAATATTTAATCACTTTCTGGATTTCTATGATTTTACTTTCATACACACATATATATATATATATATCAAACTATTTGAATTGTATGTGGCACATGCAGTCTCCAATTATCTTGTCTTTGGATCAAGAATTTCTGATGTTAAGAGCCCACATAGTGTTGCGCAAGCTATGTATAACTATAAACAATCACACATGCCATTGGATTTCTGGAGGTTTCCTGGGTAATCACCTCTCCTCTGTTGTGGAGTAAATAGTACATCCCCGGTAACTATAAGAACTAGTCGATTACTATAAAAAGCTCCAGATCAGAGGTAAGACATGTAACCATTTGGTGTCAGTCTTCAGAGGTGTTACATCAAGTAGTCGAACCATAACGTAGAGAGAATCCTTATATGAAGTACGTTATATAAGTAAGAATGTGTTATAATGACAACAGCCATATTTGCTATTTGGTGGCCATCCTGTGAAGCCATCATATCTCAAAATATCTTTTTGAAATATTATTTTAAGAATGTTTCCTACCAAAAATTACATGACATTCATGTCCTGGAGTGTTTTTACCAAAATTTTAGTTGTATTTCAGTCTCTCCCATGTCACTGTAGGCTTTTCTTAGAAATTCTAAAGAATTTACATGACAAATTTTCCATAATGTCTTACCTATGAAATTCATGAAATGAAGATTTTCAACAAAAACACTTATTCAATAAAAATAACTTCTCTGTTCTTGAGAGCAGTTGATGGGATATAAGATATATCTTTGTTCTGCTCTTCTTATTCTTACTGTAGAAGTAAATCAGCAATTCAAGATAATTTGTAAATGAGAATAAATACAGTGAAAGTAATGATTGTACTGGAATGAGGAGATATTTTACTCAATATTATGGGACACTTTCATTTATAGGATACAAAACCCAGACGAGACCATAGTTTTAGTGTTAACACCTAACAAGGTATTTCATAATGGTAATATTAGTCGTTTCCATATGAGGAAACATTCAGCATTCATTGACAAAGCAGCCAAAGCTACTATCGTCTGAAATTTTAAAAAATCTTTCTCTTAAAACAATTCAAGGAAAACAGGTTTCTCTAGTCCAGTAACTATTATTGGTCTTTCCAGTACTGATGGGGGATTCCTTCTCAATATTTTGTTTGGAATAGTGTGATTATTTCATTTTTTTTTCTCTTCAAGTTGCGATATCCATTTAAGTTGTTGATGTTGTTGAAAGATCTCAAGTCATTGGGTTTCTGCTTTTTGGTACAGTTCTTGTTTGGGATTCTGTAGCACCAGTCCACAAGTTTTGAAGAAGAATGATCCTCACTAAAAAACTACAAGCTTCATTGGCTCAATATATTGATACCGATAAAATGGACATAGTAAAAACAATGTAATGGTAATGATAATATTAGCCATTTCCATCCATTGACTGAGCAGCCAGTGTTGCTGTCGGCTTAAATTTAGCAAAAGACATTTTCATACTCTGGCAGTAAATCGGAGATTAATTCAATATCCTGATCCCAATTGACTAATGTAATTTTACAGGTGATCTTTTCCCAAGTTGATCCTGAAAAATGAAGGACATCAAACAATCTAACAAAATGTGTTCATTTCTTTTGCTGCTGCTTCAAGTTGCAATAATTACAAAAAGAGAAACATGCCAACCTGTATTTCCTTCAAGATCTGGCTGATCAATTGGATAATCAGGCATTGCCTCGCGAAACAATTCAAAAATTGCGGCTGCATTATCTTTCCCATACTGAGACAGGACATGCAAAGGATTTTGACCTCTGAAAAAAAAAAAAAAAAAAAAAAAAAAAAAATATTTTTCTAAAATAAAATAATATGAAAATATGTATATACTGAATAATATATTATTGAATTAGAGAAATGAAATACCAGGCAACAGAGATTCATAAAATATAGAGAAAAAAAATAGAATTTTAGAAATAAAGAAAATGCTAAGACAGGAAAGGAAATTGTATCAATACTTTCACAATACTGACATTTTTATGGGAAAACAGTATATAAATTTTTAAATATCAAGAACAATTATTGAAAAAGTATGACAGAGCGGGAAAAGTTTTTGTACATGTTTTCTCCATTAAAAAGTAAAAAGTAAAAATAAAAAAAATTTAAATTTAAAAATCTCAAATGTCCCCCTTTGTGCACATATGTAGTCACATCAATATAAATATCATTTTAGTCAAACGAAATCCTAAAGGATGAAACATATCATGCGAAAACTTTTTCCACTTTGTCATCGTTTTTCCCTGACATTTTACTGTAAAGCATTCGTAGGGTAATAGTCAGTATGTACAAATTGCAAGCCATTGATTACTAGTTCAATACTTAAAAAGTGCCTGTTGGAGTTCAGAGGAAATGCATTCTATTACTTATTTGGTGTGCATAATTCAATTTTGTGTACGGTATATTTACTAGGTAAGTAAACTAAGATTTTATCTAATATTATACCAATAGTACTGATGAAAATTTCACAGCTCTCCTATTTGAATTGTTTTCTTTCTTTCTTTTTCTCACCAAAATCAAACAGTGTCTCTAATATGTCTTTTCCATCTTTTCTTGTGATCAAAACAGAACAGTCCATTATTTCTTTCTTTTTCTTACCAAAATCAAACAGTGTCTCTAATATGTCTTTTCCATCTTTTCTTGTGATCAAAACAGAACAGTCCATTATTTCTTTCTTTTTCTTACCAAAATCAAACAGTGTCTCTAATATGTCTTTTCCATCTTTTCTTGTGATCAAAACAGAACAGTCCATTATTTCTTTTCTTTTTCTCGCCAAAATCAAACAGTGTCTCTAATATGTCTTTTCCATCTTTTCTTGTGATCAAAACAGAACAGTCCATTATTTCTTTCTTTTTCTTACCAAAAACAAGAAGCATCTGATATGTCTCTTCTGTCTTTCCACACAATCAAAACAGAATAGTCCATTATTTATGAGGCATTGGCAGAGCATAACATAGTTACGTGCTAACTAAAGGAGGCACAAGCAGAATAATATAAATGATAAAAAAGATAATAAACAAGATTTTGTTTTTTCGATGACTAAGTAAATGTTTTAAAAAACGGTGAATGACAACTGCAAAATGCACATCTAAAAAAAAGAAAGGGAACAGCAAAATATGTACTTACTTTCCATTTAATGCTTCTGCATTGATATTTGATTCTGTTAAGAGGCACCGAATTGTGTGCAGATTGCTATGCTGCACAGCTATGTGTAAGGCTGAAATGATAAGATGAGAGTTTGTAAGAAAAAAAAAAAAATACTTGCTGTCCCTACAGGGATAGCTCAGTGGATAGAGTAAATCAATCATACCTCAACAAACATTATTTAAAAGCCCACAATCAAATGAGGCTAATTCAAATCAATATTTTCTTTTAGTAAAGTGTCAGAATATTCCTTAACTTATTGTAACTAATGGCAATTTTATATATATATATATATATGAGTTGGTATCTGTTGTGTATGATACACCTAATTTACATAAGCGGACTACCGACCATATAAATATGGGTTGTACGGAAGACGGGGAAGATAGTAGAGATTAAGAAATTGAATCCAGAGACTCTGCCCGAACATTATTTAGTCAACCCATTATGCAGGAACAGTCTTCCCAAGAATATACCAACTAACTGTAAATATTGTGTACCTATTCTTTGTTTCAATACATTTTGTTAACGTACATTTTGTGTTGTATTATTCCATGCTTATTTAAGCTTCAACAGTATCAAATATGGATCGAAATCTGACAGGATGATAAGTTAAAAAACAAACAGGAAATGTTTATCAATATTTAATAAAAGTGAAACATGTTACATTGATAAACATTTCCTATTTGTTCTTTATCTTATCATATATTATTTTTAGAACTGGTGCAAGGATCTTGTGATCCCCAATTCGCCCAAATCTATGACATGCCCTCCCCTTCACTCTAATACTTCTCAATTTTCATAAGGTAGTATTCATATAAAATACAAATTTTATTTTAACCTAATTATGTACAAAAATGGATCATATGCAATATAGGTGAATTATTCAAAAAAAAATTGAAAATAAATACAATTTGTCTAAATACAAATTAAAGATGTGTCATAATAGAGCATTCCATCTTAAATAAATCAATAATGTTTTGTGACAATTTTTAACATCAACTTGAAGTTTTTTGAGTTAAAAAGTCATGTAATTTAACATCTTGGATAAAAAGTAGTGAATTTTATATAGCTTTTTTAAAACTTAGCATAAGCAAAACAAATTCACAGATCTGAACAGGAAAAAAAGATTACATTAAAATCCACAAAAATTTTTCATTTCTTAATAGTCAGTTGTGCTTAGTTTAATTTGTAATATATATATAAATGTCGGTAGGAAAAAAAATCAGGTTCTGATAAAATAGTAAGGGTCACAAAGCACGGCCATGGCTCCTGTCAGGCTCCCCACAACCAGTTAAACAGAGAGAAATAATTATTGCTACGATACTAAAGCTCATTCCCTGTAAGTAAAAGAGAAAAAAAACGGTTATTTTTATTTCAATTTTTTACTTTATTTCACAGCTGGATGGACATTAAATTATTTAGTGATTTTTATCTGTGTGTGTGTGTGTGTGTGTTTTTTATATACTTGGTCACCAACTTTATGATTGTTCAGCACAACATAGGGGTTGTCCAGAATGAGTTATAAGGGAATGTATTATTCCAGTGTCTTATTTCAAAACTTAGTTAAATTGTGTGTATGTGTTTGTGTGTACATTAAATGGCATCCACACATGAAAGTCACTTATGCCCAACACTGACAGATGCATATATACTGTACCGGTACAGTGTATAGGCAAAGACAGCGTATGATAAGCAGAGTTCTATCATAGAAGATTTCTGTTACGTCTTGCGATTAAAGGGAGATCATCCTCAACAAGATGCCTCCAAGTTTTAACACCATCACAAATTTGCTTTTAATGGGCAACCAGAAAATGTGGACTTTGATCCAGTGTGAATAACATTTAATTGAACGGCTAAATATAAAATACATTAAAGACATATTTATGTTTAACATTCTTTTTTTATAGATACAAGTATTTAAGCAAATGCTCTGTTTATAATAAACAGTATTAAATAACATTTACCGGCCTGAATGTCTGAGAAATTTTCATAGAAAATATTCGTCCTTTGACAGGATTCGAACCTGCATCCTATACGGAACCGTCATTTACGCTGACGTGCCTTAACCGACTCGGCCACAAAGGAGCGTTTGGTAGGCAAGGTCGAATTTACTGCTTATAAACTTCAATCTTCCATGAATCTCATACATTCATAACTGTTCATGGCGTATCAAATGTAAACAAATGACGTCATACATTAAGAATTGGACAAAGTCCGACAATTTATTAAAGACATTTTTATGTTTAACATTCTTTTTATAGATACAAGTATGAAAATTTCTCAGACATTCAGGCCGGTAAATGTTATTTAATACTGTTTATTATAAACAGAGCATTTACTTAAATACTTGTATCTATAAAAAGAATGTTAAACATAAAAATGTCTTTAATAAATTGTCGGACTTTGTCCAATTCTTAATGTATAAAATACATTACTAACAATAATCATGACAGAACTTAACAACCATGTCTATGGATGTCTTGTCATTCTTATTTCGTATTGTTCAGTTATTTCTCACCCGGGTTCCATTGTCCAAGTACATACTACCTGGCCCAGGGATTGAACTCACAATTACAAAGTCACCAAATTCTTAAACCGACACCTTAATTCATGAGGCTAATATTAACAGCAAAGACGAGGACAACAGTCCACATCTAAATAAAATTCTTTGTACCAGAAATTCAGACAGAAACCTAAGTATTTTTGACATTATGATAAAATTAAAAATTACATTATCCACATCCTACCATCACACTCCAATCAATGTGTGCCCTTCTTAGAATTTTAAAACACTTTGAAACTCACCATTATTGGAATTTTCATCAAGAGCATCAATATCTACACCATTTTCTATGAGTGCTGTGCTTATGTTAGCATTGTCATTGGTAGCTGCCAGGTGTAATGCTGTTTCCCCACGTAATGTCCGATCATTGACATTAGCCCCAGCCAGTAACTGGAAAAAAAAAAGTATATTTCTGAAAGAACAGTTTTAATAAAATGCCAGCTAGGGGGGGGGAGTTAGTTTGGATTTGGATGAATTGAACATTTCTTTTTAAAATTCTGTTAATTATATCTTGATTTAATTTTTTTTTAATCAACTGTTAACATTCTGTCACTGATGTTTCATCAGGGCCCCAACAAAGTGTACTGCAAATTGCATTCAACTGCATAAAAAACTCCAGAAGATATCAGGTCACTTTTCAATTTATTTCTATGCTAGATTTTGTTAAAAACAGGTTAACTTTGGTCTTTTTTTAGAATTTTTCATTTTTTTTTTTCTTTGTTTATTTTAAAGTGTTAAATTCAGTGTTGAATTAAAACAGCAGCCACCTGAAAACTCGTGTTTTTAAATAGCTTCATCAAATCTAGACTTTCATAAGCATGTTGTCCAACACATTCAGAATTGTCTATTGTCTATATACAACCATTTCTCAAATCAATAACTAAAAATCGCTTCAAATGAACAAATTCTTTAAATCTTAAAGACAAACTTTCATCAGACGATAGATTGGCACTAGAAAATCACCAAGAGCTTTATAAAAATAACAAAAATCACATCTCTTGAACTCTTCCAACAACAACAAAAATAGGTGGCATATGCAACTAGAAGAGAAAAATGATCACATAATCAAACTGTTAACATTCCACACTACCAAAAACAAAAGCATTGGAAGGAAACTTATTTTTACAAGCATTTATTTTTCTTTCATTATTCATTGTAAAACACAGTGAAAAACTGAAATAAAACAATTCTTATAAATCTTAAACAAAGTTTGCTTGAGTCCCTTTGATTTGCTAAGAAATAAGTGTTGATGTAAACAATATCAATACTTATATACAATAAGTTGCAGAGCAATAATATAATACAGATATAATATACTATGTACATATTTGTGACCAGAATTTTATAAAAAAAAAAAAATTACAAGTCCTTGTGTCTTACTGATCATCCTTTGGATGAAGCTCATTGCCATGTGCAACCTTTTTAAAGAATAGATTATTTCCTTTCAGTTAGTTAGACTGACTTCATGACCGGAAGTGGGGCTATTCCCTATTTAATGTTATTCTCTTATTCTAATATGATCTTTTTTATATATTAACAATTTCTTTTTATTTATTCATTTAATTTTATTATTGTTTATATACAATGAGTAACACATTTTCTGCAAAAGCCACAACAATCTTATACATTTCAATCAACAATAGTACAAATTGTTTGGTCAGTGAATGCCAAATTTTTCCTGTATGGAAACAATCAATCTAACCATTATCATTATTTCTCAAATGATATAAGCTTTGTCAATTTTGTCAGCACAACACCATCAATAAAAAAAATGCCTAGAAAAAAAAATTTTTTTTTTTTTTTACACTGACTGCAACAATTCAGCCCTTTCTTAGAAATTTTTTTACCAGCTGGAATAAAATATGTTCTTGCTAAGCTTTTAAAACCAACTCCTCATTCCTTTTTGCTTTCTTCCAAAAAATCTGAACATGACAAGAGAAATTTGCATTATGTAAGAGGAATGAACTATTATTAATATTTTTGTATGAGAATTTGTTGTTTAGTGACAACCTCCCCCACAAAAAAAAAAAATAGAAACAGGGTACATAATTATAACAGGGACATGATTAACAGTTTTGTGTCACACTCACCAAATTGCGAACAATAATCTCTGAGAGTGCCAAAACGGCAAGATGAAGGGGCGTATGTTGGTGAGCATCTTGAACACGAGAATTGACATTGGCATGAACACTGATTAAGAACAATACACTCTCAATATCCCCATTTGTGATGGCTGTATGCAGAAAGTTTCGGCCTTTGTTGTCTGTCTGGGGAGAAAAAAAAAAAAGAAAGAAAAACATAAATGTCAATATTTTAGAATAACCCAAAAACAGAAAGACGAATCTGCAATCCTTAATAAGTAGAAAGTCCAGAATGCATCTTTTTAAATTTGAGAACAGAACATAATATTTTCTATATTATAATCAGACAAAAAAAAAAAAATGGTCTCCCTCAAATAGTGGCTTATTCATTTATTGATAATTTGGGGGACAAAAGCAACAAGCCTTATCTTTAATTCTCGGGAACTTCAAAAGGCAATATCCCTTAATTTTTGACTAATCTCTCATTTTATATCTGTTCCATTTTATTGCACTTCTCATACTGCTATTCTAAAACATAGAAAGAAAGGCTGCCAGTGAGAAGAGTTAAAATATTGTTAGTCATTACAGATTTGTTCAGGAAGGCATCATTTGTTCATTAGTAGGCATCATTTAAATAAGCTATATTTCTTCCTTTTCTTAAGCTACATCACTGCCATGTTTGCTTCTATAAACTAGCAGTATTGCATATAATAATCAACAATTTCCTTAGATGAAGACTTGTCATTATTTTTTACAAGACTTTTCACTTTATTTCTGTTGCTCTTCATAACAATTCTCTGATCATTATTATATAACAATTAAATAAGCAGTGAAGATTGAAAATAAAAATTACGTCTTTAGAGATCTAATACTACTCATGCATATAAACATAGTAGCAATCAGAGAAGTAAAGAATATAGCTCCATGCCTTCTTTTCACAATGTCTATAATTAAAATCATTGTAACAACACTGTCATGGAAAGACAGGCTTCTAAGGACAAGGGAAGTGAGTTCAAATCTTACTGGAGAAATAAAATGAAAGAACAACAAGTCAAAGAATAATAGTCTGGCATACTTATATTGGTGAATATGAAATTGTCATAGAGTTAAATGCTTTGAGATAATTATATTGAAAAATAAATATTTTTTGTGTTAAATGACTTTTTTTTTTTAATCGCCAAATAGTTATTTATTTGTACTCATGTACAAAATGTGGCACAAGGCCAAAAAGGGGGATTGGGGAAGGACGGTGTTCTTCTGTCTTAATTCTAAACTTAGCTAGTTACAAACACAGGCCCAAACATACCAACAATAGTCCTATCACCAAAACAACACATTCACCCCCAAATAAGTACAGAGTTTGTTATTTGCATCTACTTACCTACCATAGTGAGTCTTGATAATTGGAGATAGCTAATTTACATATTGAGATAAAAAAAATAATGGTTTTAAAAATAACTGTTCTCTTATTCCTTTCAAATCTGGTCCTTCATTATTTTAATAAGTGTCTTGTTGACATCTTTTATAATAGTTTAGTTGCTCAAATAAAGCTCTGCCCTGAAAGTGGAAACTACCTTAGCATTTAGATCACAGCAGTCAGCAGCATTAAGCATTGTTTACATTTTGTAAGAGTATATTTCGAAAATCTAACAAATCTAAAATAAAGGTTTTAAAAATAACTGTTTTCTTATTCCTTTCGAATTTGGTCTTTCATGATTTTAATAAGTGTCTTGTTGATATCTGTTATAATTAAATTGTCTTATTTAGAGAGAAAATGTTCCTTGAAATGTTTGCATGAAGCATTTTCCCCAATTACTACCAGTTTTTTGATAGAAAATGTAAGCAATGGTAAGATGAAATAAAACTAGTAATGAAGTGATAATACTATATCCTTTTTTTTTTTAATCTTTTCACTCTTAATAAGGCAATAAAGCCCCTAAGATACAAGAGGTTACTGAGAGTGAAAGAATATCCCTTGTGTCAAGTCACTCTATAAATGCTGCTGGTACCATGAAATACAGTACTAGCTGCCACACAGTCAGGTCAATCAGTGACAAAACAGTTCTCCCACCAAGCTTTTCTGGTGAGGAGGGTTGCTAGACACTAAACAGAGTGGATGAACCGTTTTACAGAGGGTCAATGGCCATCTAGCACAATAGAGTAGACTGGGCTCCATAGTTATGTATCCAGCCAATGCAATGATGACATGGCATCACTGAACAGAAAGCTTCTTGGATTGGAGGTAACAATCAAGGCAGAGGGTTCCCCTGGGGGAAGCAACAACTATGATCAATTTAAATATTTCAATGAAGAAGCAATCAGAAAAAAAAAAAAAAAAAAGAAAGAAATGTTACCTGTTCTGCTGCTGTTGGCTCTCGGTTCAAGATGGCCTGGGCTGCCTTGTTGTTTTTGGTCATCATAGCTACTGCAAATGGGCTGTACCCTTGTCGATTCTTCAGGGACAGGATGAGATTGGGGTGGGCAAGTAACAACGAAATGATCACTGAGTGTTGGTTCTGGATGGCAATATGCAAGGGACAATTGCCATCTGCATCCTTGAAGGCAAAGATAAAGTTCAAATGAATTCACAAGCCAAATCAATCACTAACATTAAAAATCCAAGAAAAATATATAAATACAGGTCATCTAAAAGGAATCTTTTTGTCACAGACACTAATTTGGAATCTGCAAGCAACTGAATTTGATTTTTGCACAGTGCTCCACTAAAGCCTTGAGTTTTAAAAATTTGTCGTCCACTATTTTATTTGTTCCAATTAAGGCTCTTCTCAACAATTATTGCCTCAAGTTCCAACAATAATCACAGAACCAATTCAATTAAAATAAAGTCTATACTACAATAAATGTGTGGGTAGTGTAATGATTATCAGCACTGAAAGTGAATTTGACTAGCTGAGTTTGAATTCCAACCTAGTCTGTTATGTTCACTTTCACACAAATAATCTTAGAAAAGGCACAAATCCGTCATCTTTCCCAGCTAGAGGTCAAATAGCAAAGTAGACAAGGCTTTCTAGCCTTGGTAGCAATCAGTCTAAGAGATGGAAACCTGAATTCCAAATCAAGGGGAAGTCAGAGGTGAAACAACTTCATTATCTCCTACAATCAAGTCGTTTCAACAATCACTGCCTCATAATAATCACAAAACTAATTTAACTTGTCATTAAATTAATGTCCGACACTCTGCAATAGATTTTTGGGCAGTGTAATGGTTATTAACATGGAAAGTGGAAACATCGAGCAGAGTTCAAATTTCAGCCATGACTGTTGCATTCACTTTCACATGAACGCCATTGAAAAAGTCATGAATGTCTCTTCTTAACCCCACGTAGCTATAGGTTAAATAGCAAGGCAGATTGGGCTCTTTAGCTATGGCTGGTAATCAGTCTAAAAGAAGGAAAACTGAATTTCAAACTGTGGAAAAGGCAACAGAAAATGATTTCACGATCTTTTCCAAGAACGCATAACAATTCAGAGAAAAAGAATCTGTAGAGAGCCATGATTGCTTGCACCCTGAAGGGACATGGCAGTAAAAAAAATGATATTTAATTAACATTTCCAAAAATTTTACAATGGAACTTTCACAAAAGTTAATATTTAAAGATATCAAATGTGATCAATGATACCAAGTATGAGACTGATCATTTAAGAATATTGGGGTATACTAGTAATGCCGATAAACACATCTGCCAAAGTCATTACACAATATTGCACTTCAGAGGTCAAAGTTTTATTTGTTAGTCAAAAACATTTTGCCACAAAACACATTTTTTTAAATGCCATTAGTTAACACTAATACTTTTCAATCGCACCAGCAATTAAAACCTAAAAACAAATTTTGAAATTGTTTTTACATATTAAAGACATTTTAAATATATGCAAGGCTTTATTGTATGCAACAAAGTGATATATTTATCCCATCTTTTTTTTTTTACCTGAATGTTGACATCAGCTCCATGTTCCATAAGACACTGAACCACCAGTTCCAGGCCCCAGGCACAAGCCAAGTGAAGCGGGGTCTGCCCATCTCTAACAAGAGAAAAAATAAAATGAAAATGATTTTGCTCAAATTAGAATTAAAACATCTATCTTTCCCTCTCTCTCTCTCTCACACACACAAAGGTGGATCAATAGCCTGACACACTTATATTGTTGAGTTTGAAATTGTCATTGAGTTAAATGCTTTGAGAAAATTATATTGAAAAATGAATATTTTTTGTGTTGAATGATTTTTTTTCATCATCAAATAAGTACAAAGTTTGTTATTTACACCTACTTGCCCATTGTAGTAAGTCTTGATAACTGGAGATAGCTAATTTACATATTCAGAAAAAAAAATAATGGTTTTAAAAATAACTGTTTTCTTATTCCTTTCAAATCTGGTCCTTCATGATTTTAATAAATGTCTTGTTGATATCTTTTATAATTGTTTAGTTGCTCAAATAAAGCTCTACCCTGAAAGTGGAAACTACCTTATCATTTAGATCACAGCAGTCAACAGCATAATAATAAGCGTTGTTTACATTTTGTAAGAGTATATTTTGAAAATCTAACAAATCTAAAATTTTCATTTTTGAAATTTTTCGTTTTGTTCATAAAAATTAAAATAAATTTGTTTTGTTTAATTATCATTGAGCTTCTTTCAAAAAAAGAATCATTAAAAACAAAACAATGATGCCTATATGCTACATATGAAATAAACTACCACCACATGGTTTAAACCTATCAAACTGCTTTAATTATGACAATCTCACTCTTAATATTTTAGATCAAACTCCCAAATCTCTCAAAGCAACAACTGTAGTGAAACGCGGAAAGTCAAAAAGCTCAGCTGATGTAATGCCAAGTATCATTGCAAGTATAAAATGTATTAGCTGTATTAAGCTTAGAAATTGAACTGAGTCTATAGTAAATTAGTGTAAAAAATGACCAATTCATGTACCACATGACAAGGCATGTAGAACTAATTATTAGGTTGGTGCAAAAATAATGACGTAAGAATGTCGTTTTTGACGTTAAAAATATGTCAAAAAGCGACATTATTACGTCATTATTTTTGCACCAACCTAATAAAAATAAAAACACTTAGAATTAAAAAAAAAAAAAAAATCAAAGAAAAATCCAATCCTACCTGGCCTCTTCACCTCCTTCTCCATTAGGACCAGGCCTCCTGGGACTATTTTTGTCACATGCGCTAAAAAAAAAAATTTTCAAAGGATTTTCACGAAAATATACTGGAGTAAAGTAATTTCCAGCATCAGCTGAAACTATCAACTGCACATTACAAATTTAGGCATTTTTCAAAATTTTATAAAGAGTGGATAACTTTGTCTATTTTCAATCTAAGCAATAATTAGAATCATATTGAAAATATTTTACAAAACTCTTTTTGCTGGCCACATAGCCAATGACAAAAAAAAAAAAAAAAACAGACACTGACCTTCGAATGAGAAAGCAGGCCACTGACTCATTGTTCTCGTCTATTGCCCGGTGCAGCAGGTTCTGGTGACATCCTTCAGGGCCTGGACCCCACATGTCCACATCACAACCATGTTTCACCTAAAAATGTGAGCCAGAAAAAAAAAAAAAAAAAAAATGTTTGGGGTTATTTTTTCATTTAAATTTTTTATTATTTTACATGTTTAATGTTTGTCATTTAAAATTATATACGGAAAAAACAAACAAAAATACTTATATGCAATTATGCTGTTTTAATGTTAATATAATGTCAACATCGGACGTTTCGGTCTAATAAACCATCTTCAGGACATATTCATAAAATATAATTAACATTATCAATTCAACATGACAAAGACGATGGACTAAGAACAAGACTTATCCAAAAGTTTTATAAGATCAGCGTTCCATTTAAACATAGTCACGTTGTCGTCACGTGGGCGATGCTGTGAAAACGTATTCCTAAAATTTGAGTATATATATATATATATATATATATATATATATATAACACTTCTATTACATTTTACGCTGTGCATTTATATATAAATAATAAAGAGTTAAGAAATCATTTGGCCTTTATTGCCTGAGGATACCAAAAGGTTGAAACCAAGGTAGCATGACTGGCTAACCTCCTAATTTTTTAAATATATAACTATTATAATTGTGCTTGTCTCTCCCTTCAATAGTTAGCATGACATTCACTTCCTGTCAATACCTCATAAATATTTTGATCACATGGAAAGAGGGAAAAAGACATTACTTGATTTCAGTGAGAAAATCAAATAAAGAAGAAAGGAAAAGGGAAGATATAAGTGGAGAGAGAGAGAATCAGATTAAGTTGATAAGAACAGTTACTACACTTTAATCTCAGCCAAAAGGCCAATATGTTATGGCGATTGCAATAATTGCACCATTTTTAAGATGCACAATATTGAACGACAGAAACTTATTAAAGGTAATCATCAAAATTCCAATTACAATAGATGAAATAAAATAATATCGTCTGCTGAATTATTTCTTTAATTATGATTAAGAGTAATATCCATTAGCTGGGGATTTGGCTAGAAAGAAAGAAATAAGGGAAGATAAAAGTGTATAACGTCTCCTGCCAATACCTTATAAATAATGGACTATTCCATTTCAATCATGTGGAAAGAGGGGAAAAGACACTACTTCATTTTGGTGAATAAATGAAAGAAAGAAATAAAGAAGGGAAGATAAAAGTGTTTAACGGCTGTTTCAGTAGAATAGGAAAAAAGTTGTCAATTTCAAATCTTTTCATTTGTACCCACTTCTTAAAATAACGACCAGCATTCATATTTATGATTGTTATTGCAATATTTTGTTAAAGTTGTTAAGCTCAAATATTTAACGATGATATGGGGATTTCTATGGATATTTTTTTGTCGTAGAAATCACCATGAGTATATTCAATCATTAACTTAAGAGTTAAGAATTAGGACTCATTATAAAATTTAAATAGGAAAACTGTCAAGTTTTCACAGTTCTTTCTAGCATATATAATGCAAAATAATCACCTGAGAGACATGAATCAGCTAGTATTGGTCATGACATATAAAGATGAACTTACCAAAATATGTGCAATATCTTCCTGTCCGGAGTCAAGAGCCAACCACAAGGGAGAATTGTTATCCACATCAACAATGTTCATGTTAACTCCCTTAGCACATAAGGCTTCCACGATGACAGGTAAGTGACGCTTGATAGCCAGTTGGAGGGGCAGGTCTCCTTCAGGAGTCCTGCAGTAACAGAATACAAGAGAAAAGAAGATTTTAAATCTTTTTAGGGGTATTATACTGGTGATAGAATTACTATATAATAAACCTGGGTGCCTGCCATGTAGCAGAATTGTGAGCAAGCTATTTGAGTTCAATCTTCACTGGGTGACAGACCTTTTGATTTTATTCCTCCACAATTTTAGTTGGTTGAATTTGTTTAGCAGCATCTCAATCTCTATGGGTTATTTAATGCTGAAATCTAAATCATTTGACCACAGTTGTCTGCCTTCAACTGCTTTTATAGCATATTGCTAGCTAATTTTGCTATAAATATCTAGTGATGGTAATTTTTTTTTAATATAGAAATGTATTTTTGTATTTCATAGTGTTTTTGTTTGAGGCTTCACTATTTGGACATAGCTAGGACCCTAACAGATACTATCAGCTCAGGTTAGGGTGGACCTGGGAACAATAGCAATTAAGAGGTGATTCCATGCTCCTCAAAAACTCCAATTTCCCAATCAGAGGCCTTGATGCCGGATCCACAATTTTAGATCTGGCTTGAATTGTTTAATTCTAAGTCTTTGGCTTAATTAAAAGCCTTTAAAGAACAACACAAAAGACAAATAATAGAAAGAAAAAAAAAAACACAACTCAAAAACTACTCTTAATGTCGTCTATTATTTTATACTACATAGTGACATATAGTTTTGATATTTATTAAGCTGACCTTACTTTAGCACAAGGTCACTCAGTGAGGATGGAATATGCTACAAAGTAATCATGACCTGTTATACCTACCTGTTAACTATATATATACAACCCATGACAAGAAGATCTACTTATTTGTTGATTATCAATATCATGGATATAAATTAATGGAAAAGGTTTTTAGTAATATGTTTTTTTTATATAATTTTAATCATTAATTTTCCTATGTTCAGTATTGTTAATTTTTAATAAACTATGTGCAAGAGTTTTAACTAAATGTATTTTTTAAATTTCAGGATTAAACTTGTAAAATTAGTAAATAGATCACTATTAGTTATTTTACAAAACGTACTAGTTTTAAATGAATTATCATTTTCAAGGATTATGATGTTTAAGAATGGTAAAGTATTATGTTTTACATCCTCAATATTGAACATTATGTTCTGATGCTGAGAATTTAAATAATTCAAAAAGGTCAGAGAAGGTACATTTTCTTTAAAAATATAAGAGATATCAGCTATATAGCTACAATATGTATGATGAAGTATTACCTATACTCTATCTAAACAAATTTCTTTGAATAAATTTGCCTTGAAAAAATTAGCAAGAAGGGTGATCCTATGTCCACTTCATGAATTTGATCATATTTTCTGTTATACAAAAGATGAGGTAAAGATGTGACAAACCTGAATAAATTTTATTTATGCTTTTAAAAATCCTTTTATAAATAAATTTTATTTATGCTTTTAAAAATCCTTTCTACTGCTAAATATATCATCTAATCTAGTGGAATATTGGTGAATAAATTGACTATATTGAAAGAATATAAGTGTTTTTTCTAGTTATTTTTTTCTTTTGCTATTTACTTACACTGACAAGAATGTCAGTTTTATTTTTTTCTATTGTATTTTTTCAGTTTTCAAATAATGTTTTACATACAAATCAAAATTTGAGATAAACTGTCCAAAATTCCAATTTTTTGGCTATGTTTGATTCAATTACTTTCAATTATCTCAGTTATTATCAATAACTGGATGTTGTCAATATGGCAGACAAGATTTTTGGGGCTACATCCTGGCATTTTTGACTGAGGTAGGGGTGGACATAAGACTTAATTTAATTAATTCAATATGGATATTGTACAAGTGATGCCATGTGTAAAATTATTTTATAACTGCACCAGAAAATCATGTATCAAAAATTTATATATTATTGTTGTTGTTGCTGGTAATGATACTACCACCATTATATCGTAAGTTGTGTTTGTATAAGTTTCAAACACAAATGTTTTTTTTTCTTTTCAAGCAAGGTGATAAAGTCACTCTGATGCAAGGAGTTACTGAGAATGAAAGAAACTGAGAAAAATTTATTGAGAAAAGGAGACAATAAATATTTATTCAAATAAATAGAAGATGACAGTTGACATTTCATGAACAGGATTCAAGGATTCAGAAGAATTTTAGTTCTAGCAGGCAACAGGTACAAAAAAAATATCATGAAGAGTTTGTATATTTTCCAGGAAAATTTACTTTTGTGTTTCTTTCTTATTGGCAAGAAAAAGCCTTAATAAAATACTGTCAAAACATTAAAAATTTAATATAAAAATGAAGTTAAACATTCAACTAATTTAAGTAAAGTGGAACCTCGGTTGTTGAACGTCTCACATATCGAACAAATCAGTTTTCAAACAGAAAATTCAAGATGAAAATGCCTTAGTTATCAAACAAAATTTTGGTTCTCGAACAACATAGTCGAACTGAGTTAACACAAACAGAATAATTTCTGAGTCGACAATCGTGTTGTATACATTTGTGTGTTGTGCCGTACTTTTCTTTTCCAATTTTATTCTACTGTGACCTTTTTTCTCTACAATGATTTCTATTGGAAAAACTGTTTCAGTTTACAAACATTTCAGGTTAAGAATTAAATTCGTGAACCAAGGTTCCACTGTATAACCAAAAACAAAATAAGAGAACAATAATTCAAAAATGTAAGTGTGTGTGTGTAACTTTTCACAGAATACACAGATACTACACTCCAATTCTAAGCAAAGTGCTAGAGAGCAAACTTTGATCTTAGATTTGCACAGATACTCTGATCCTAGGTATAAGGTACTGTGCTATTATTATTATTATTAGTAGTAATAGTAGTAGTATTATTAAGGAGGAGGAAGAGGTTTGCTCTGTTCATTCAGCAATTTCAAGTCATTACTTCTTTTATGGAATCTTTTTCTGACGAGAGCGATTCAGGGGAGATAATTTCTCTTTTTCCTACTTCACCAATTATTATTACTGTTCAAATATATGGCCTACTTACAGTACTGACGTGTCCACCTGGTGGTCAAGCAGAAAGAGGGCACTAACAATATCCTGCTTTAAGAGTGCTTGGTGTAAAAGGGTCAAGTTTTCTGTGTTGGTCTCATTGATATTAGCACCAGCAGAAAGCAGGCGGATGGATGTACTGTGAAGGTTATTCCACAAGGCTAGTCCGAGGACACTTTGGCCTTGTGAATCTTTTAGGTTGAAGTTGGGAACAATCATCAAGGAATCATTGCTATTTGCGTATTTGGCTGTAGCAAAGAAATAAAAAAATAGAGATATAATCAAGCTTAAATGTTCATCAGGGATTAAATTCAAGCAAAAACAAAGATAATCATATTATATCAACTTTTTATTCAATGAAATATTATCAAGCATTATTAATTTTTGACTAGTATTTTTTTCATCTTAATATCAGTTGCATTTCATTGCAACTGCTCAGCCTCTCATAATTCGATGATAAACAAAATGGTTTGAGAATAAGGACTAAGTACTTAGAAAAACTCAATAGAACAAAAGATACCTTTCACCTTTCCAAGGTAAAAGGCATGTGAGAATTTCTTTATTCTTAAACCACAGGCATGGACTGATGTTCTATGTAGTTGCAATAAAAAGCAACTAATGAAAGAAATACTCAGCTCATAAAAAATTAATAATAGTGATAACCAATTTATAATATTTTTGTAACTGGAATAGCTTAGTATTCACCCATTTTCAGAATTTCCATATACACAGCTTTGCTTTATTACAAATCTCTTTCTTATTAGAATGTCCAAGATGTTTTTTCTTTAAAGACTTTTATTGAAGGCCAAGTGCAAAATTAGTGATATGCAAAATTAATAAAAAAAATAAAGCTGAACTGTAGTCTAATAATAAAAAGAAGGTTCTCCTTTCTTAACTTCTTAACAAAAGTTTAAAGGAAAGATTAGCTCCATTTTAAAGAAAAAAAAAAAACAACCAATAAAATTAATAAAAGAATTACGAAATAAAAATTAATAATGAATACGGATAGAACTTTTGTTGTACTACCTTTGTGCTGTAAGAAAACATCAACAATATCTTCACGTTTACTAAGGATGGCCAAATGCAATGGGGTTTGCTTGGTGACTGGAATTTGTTCCTCATCATCCAAAGTGAGTGTGTTCAGCTGGGCAGATGTTTGAGTATTGGGGTTAGCCCCATTACTGAGAAGCACTTGAACCAGATGAACTAGACCCTTTTCACAGGCAACATGCAAGGCAGTTTCATTCTGAAAACAAGATAAAAATAAAGACATGCATCTTTAAAACCTGGGAATTAGTTTTCTCCAAGACCAAAAAAAACAAAACATCTGATTATCCTCCATTTATTATCAACTCATGAAATACATAATACGACATCTGTTCCATAATAGTTGTGACGTTTCATGTATGAAATATATACTTAAATGTAATAACTATTATGAAACAGATGTAGCAAGATCTTTAATAGTTTTGAGATTGGCAATTTAGAGAAAATCTCTTTGCCTTGGTACAAGACTACTTAAAGTTGCTTCTCTTTAGCAATAGTTGTAAACATTTACAAATATATTTCCAAATAAATATAAACAGCCTTAAATTATCTCTAAACTGATACCAGATAAATTTTAACTGTAAAGAATTCTTCAAAAGAAATTAAAAACTTCACTTTTCTCAAAAAACAAGATTTGCTTCTGAACAAAAAATTGTGATAAAATAAATTCAATATAGTGATCAGAATGTAGGTCACCATTGTGATTCAAGCACAAGTTTAACTGTGACTTAAACCGTAGGAGTGAGTATTACAGACATATGAAAACCTTTGTTAGTGACACTGTCAAATTGAATGAGTACAGACTAAAATAAAGGCCATTTGCATTGCCTGAGAAAGTCATTTTGATAAAAATCAAATCAAAAATAAGAGAGATAAATATCTTAAAAATACAAAACACTTCATGTGTATCAAATTTGGTTGGTAAATTGAAACATTTCTCAAACAGATTCATAAAAGAACTGCTGCATTATTAATTCTGGTAGTAATGTCAATGGCCAAGACTTATCAAGATCTCAATTGATTTTCTGAGAAGTATGAAAAATTAAAGACTGAAAAGTTTTCTTTCATCAATCTGTTATCACAATTTCTCACTGGATTCATAGAGGTGCTGGTATTTAAGAAAGTATGTCTGAGTCCCAATAAATAATATAAAAACTTTTAGATGATACTGATTCAGAATACATATGATTTTACAAGTCTGAGTTGTAGAGAAAAATTCTGAGGAAATACAGTTAATAATAAAATGCTGAAAATCCAAAATAAAAGAAATACAACAAACCCTGTTTTTTTTTTTTTTCATCATCCATTCTACTTGTTGACTATTGTGGTAAACATTCATTTTTTTTTATAAATCAACACCCCAATTTGAGAGAGAGAGAGAGGGTTCTTTTTTTTTTTTTTTCAAGTTTTAAAAAGCAAACAAATTAAAATAAAATAAATTTGACAGCTTTAGAGACACAGGATTACTAATATGGACTTTTCTTTCCTCTAGAAACTAAGCTAAGTGTTTGCCAGCTTCAGTTACCCAAAACTTGTAATTACAGCTTGATTTTCAATTTTACAAATGTAATTGATCTAGACAGAAAAAAAATGTAGAAGAAAAAGCTTACTACTGCCACTGACTTTGTGATTAGCTGTATTGACAAGGGCTCCATGCATGGCAAGGAATATACCAGCAGCTTCATTCCCCGAACGAATGGTCTGCATTAATAAAGAATCACCTGCAAATAGAAACATTTATAAAATTAACAGAACAATTTTAATCACAAGTTGTTCATCATATTGTAAATAAATATATATGTATAATTGTATAACTATTGAAATTTAATGGATAGCGGCTTAAGGAATTGGAGAGCCAAGTTCGAATTCCATTTGAATCCATTACATTCACTTACATGCTAACACCCTTGGGAAAGGTACGAGTCCGCTTCTTCTCCCCCCCAGCTATGGGTAAATAGTAGGACAGACCGAGTTCTATAGCCTTGGATGGCAACTGGTCTACTGCACAAAGAAATGGCAACCTAATGCGGGAAAAAATCTGCCTTGTCAGTCATGTATCGAAAGATACATGATTGCCTAAGCGTGTATCACGCATGGCACATAACTGACTGATTCCTTGTATATATGCTGAGTTTGAATTTCAGTTGAATCCATTACATTCACTTATGTATTAAAACTCTTGGGAAAGGTATGATTCCTCTCCTTCTCCCTCTTGCTATGGGTAAATTGAAGGACAGACTGGGTTCTATAGACTTGGATGGCAAATGGTCTACTATAGAAAGAAATGGCAATCTAATGCGGGAAAAAATCTGCCTCGACAGTAATGTATCAAAAGATACATGATCGCCTAAGCATGTATCATGCATGGCACATAACTGACTGATTCTTTGTATATATGCTGAGTTTGAATTTCAGTCGAATCCATTACATTCACTTACATGCTAATACCCTTGGGAAAATTATGAGTCCTCTTCTTCTCCCCCAGCTATGTGTAAATAGCAGGATAGACCGGGTTCTATAGCCTTTCATGGCAACTGGTCTACTGCAGAAAGAAATGGCAACCTACTGCAAGAAAAAAAATCAGTCATGTATCAAAAGATACATGATTGCCTAAGACTGACTATTGATATTTATTTTTTACAAATTTCCCATATGTAAAGATTGCCATAGGTTGTTAGGATGATATAATTGGGAAAGAGATGCATTCAGGCATGAAAACACAACATCGAAAATTGTGAAAATGTTGAACAAAGATCAACGAGAAATCAGAAAGAGAAATTTGAAAACCTTGACAAGATTAGAAGAAAAAAATTGGGTTTTAAGAATGTCACAAAGTGAGATTAAAAGGAGTAACGAGCAAGAAAATATTTGAAGAAGCTGTCGTTGAAAATGTAAACAGAGAGAAAAAACACAAAATATTGCATATATTGACTAAGGCATGAAAGCAAACAAATTACCACCTTTAATTAAATATCACTAAAGTTGGCTAAGACATATCTGAAATTTCTCACCAGCAACTTTTAGTGATGAATGTTATATTAAATGGATCTGACAGAGGTTGAGGTCTTCATGGAAATAAAAGACAGGAAGTGATGTTTAATGTTTCAGGCTAATTTTTTAGACATTACAATTACATGACTATTTAAAGTTGGTGAGACAAAGGTAGTTTTTTTGTTTTTTGAACAAGATATTTATTGAATGATAGTGATCAGATACAAGAAGCAGTATGCTAAAGAATATATTTATGTTAAGTAATATTCCTTCACACACTCCAAGCCTGACTTGTGCCCAACTTGCCAAAAAAGTTTCAAGGATATCAAATTGATGGAATGTCTCCCAGCCTTTCCAGAAGATTAATATCTGGAAAGGCTGGGAGACATTCCATTAATAGAAAACTTGTGGTCTATTTCTAAAAGAGATGTATATGAAAATGGAAAACAATATTCAACCAAAGAATTTTGGGAAGCAATAAAAGCTGCTGCCAATAAAGTTGAAATAGGAGAAAAGTTTACAAAATCACTGAATAAAAGACTGATGAAGGTTATAGAATTTATAAGAGTTCATTGTGTCAATTAAATGTGTTTCTAATGCAAATCTCTCAAATTTATTTACAAATAAAAATTTATGTTGAAGTTAGTTTGTATTGGGTTGGTGCATAATTATCAGGCGTTTTTGTAGGCAAGTTATTTGTTAATCAAAATTGCTGTTTTGTTTACTTTTTTAATAGAAATATTTTATTTGCAGGTTATAAAAATTTGTGTTGATAATCATATGCTCCGGAATAATCATTTAAAAATGCTATTGTTGAATTGTTATGTTTCTTTTTCATAATAAATATTGTTTTAAAAAGCGCCTGATTATCATGCACCAACTCACTATAAGAAAATGTGACAACCACAACCTAAGGAACTATTAATATTTCTATTAAAAGACAGACATTATAAGCTTTAACTATATTGCTTATATAAATGTATGTATAACCAGAAAATTTTTCCCACTTTACTTGGTTAATATCAATATTGTGAAAACATTGACCTGCATCACAAAATCTGATTGTATATAATTTTTTTGCTACTTTAATATGATCTTCAGTTTAGGCATTGGGATTCTCACTGTACTTAACAAATGGACAAAGGAAAGTGCAACAGAAATCTGAAGGTGCATAGGAATAGTAAAAGAGGACTTTCAAAAACCAAGCAAAGTATTAAGAGATAGGAAAATGTCTTTAGAAACAAAAGAAAACAGAGCCAAAATGTTATGTAATATCTAATCTCCTACATAGTAGTTGGCAATCTCCCCACAGATGAAGAAAGGTCTTTAAACAACAGGTTCATATGATTCTACCAATGAATGCTGAGAATATCATAAACTGAAAATCTGAGTAATAAATAAGTTTTAAAGAAACTAAAAACTACAATGAAACTGATGCTAACAATCAAAACAAGATAGCAGAAATTTCTGGGATTCATAAGGAAAGAGTACCTAGAAACTTTAACACTCACAGGATATATTGAAGGCAAGAGAAGCAGGAGGGAAAACAGTGAGTAACATACTTAAGAACTTTGTGTTAATTGATGGTAGAATACAGTCAAAGATGGTAAAGAAGCGAAGGATACTTAGTATACCAAAAGACAGGAAGTTGTGGAGAGCAATGATTGCCCACATCCTGAAAGGACACAGCATATTATATTACTTCCAGCAAAATGGATAATCTGTGAGGTTCCGGTCTCACAAAAGTCGGTTTCATTTGATTTACTGATTCAGGTATTAAGCAACATATCCAAACATTTGGAGAGGTTATTAAAAACCCTAACAAACTCAGAGTGCAGACAGGTACCCAGAAATCCTTACCCGATTCCGAATTGACAGTATTTACAGAACTTCCAGCTTTCAAAAGTTTTGCTGCAAAACTCTCTTCCCCAAACCCTTGATCATCCGTAATGTTTTGTTCTTCAGACTACAATAAAGGCAGAGAAAAACAAATAAACAAAATACAAAAGTCAAGAGATAAATGTAATTCTGATATGAAAATAAAAAAAAATTCTCCATGAGAATATGTTTATGAATTTATAAAAATCTTTTTAAAATTTTTTATTAGACTGATGCAAATGTTGCCAGAACTATATTTTGCAAAAGCTTTATTCAGCTATTTACTACTTTTACAATCAGTCAACACTTGTATGTTGTTTCCAACTATTATGAAAGTAAGTTCCACAAGAATTTACAAAATCAAACATCAATGAGTAGCTATACACTTGGCTTTCTCTTATTTGATCCAAAAATTACAAGTACAGACAAGATAATAACTGTCAATAAAAAATTCTAAAAATATATTTATTTAATTTATTTATTTAATAATCCAAAAAAGTAAATCAAGCTTAGATCCTGGCCAACTAGTATTATGCAGCCCCACATGTCACATAAAGAAGCTAAACTCTTAACAGGCCGATAAACAAAGAAAAAAATGTGAAAGACCGCTTAGAAAATACACAATCTAAAAGGGAGGTAACTTTAAAAATTGAATTCTTAGAACGTAAATTAACGTACAATTATGTAGAATTCCCTCGTCATGTTTTCAACGCTAAAATGCATATTTACACTTTTTTTTTTTAACACTAATCCACGAATTATAAACAGCTGTGAGTTACGTCATTTTTATGATTTTCAATTACGTATATAGGCTGTTTGTTTTGATATTTCGTTTAACAAAAATGGTTAACAAATGTGTTGCATTTGGCTGTGTTTGTCTATATGTTACTAACAGTCAAAAAAATATCAACATTTTCTTTTCCTGTCGGAAAATCCGACTTTGGATAAAATTCGTTAATTGTATTGATTTGTCTCCTACAGAGATTCACAAATTCCGTACCCGAACACTAAAATTTATCTATGAATCCATGCATCACAAAAGATTCCTTTTGTTTGGGAAATACAGGGCAAGTAGTTTTCAAAGAACCTGATAGTTTCATTTTTTTCTGTCTGAGAGAAAGACATATCATTACTAACCTGTAGAGCCAACCATAAAGCTGTGTAACTATCAGAATTCTTCAGTTCCAAGCTGAGGCCACCATGTTTTAGGAGCACATCAAACACAGCCACATTCTTGCAGGAAATGGCACGATGTAGTGGAGTACTGAAATAAAATATTCCAAAATAAATGTGATGGCAAAACGGCTCTAATACTAACTACTGGCATTATGATAGTTTTCATTTTAAAAAATAGTTTTCATGCTTAAAAAAATAAAATAAAATAATTATAACTATGTAATTTCAGCCTGGAGTTATGCACACAATTTCACATAAAGCAGTTAAATTCCATCGCAATGAAACTTACCCTGATTAACCAGTTATTCATCACCACAACTGCCATGTAAATTAGCTGCTAGTACCACCAACTTAGACAAACTTCAAACAGACTGTTATTAATGTGAGCAACTCGGACTCAATATTCAGACAGATATATGAATAGTAATTTTCAACATGGTAACAACCTCTTAAAGTTATAAATTCTCAAGAGGATATTAAATGTTCAGGAGCATTATGGAGGTGATACTGTGATTTTAAGCCGATTTAATCCTTTTAACTCAGATTAGGTATTTTTTATATATTTGTCTTTTTTGCCTATGTAGTATCAATTTTAGATATATTTTAAATATTTTGATGCAATTGTATTATATTTATGAAACAAAAACCTACAAATTATTGTTGGGCAGATTCTATGACCAGTCCAGGCGACTGCCACTTGGATTACTTTTGGTGATTGGCACTGCTATAATGCAACAAATAAATGATATTAATTCTATTGTATTAACTTAGCTCTATTTACCATTGTAATTTTAATATAGAGGATTCCAGCCCACACAAAGATCCAAAATGGTGTGTTGAGAAGAAAAGGTCACGAAACACCAATATAATGTATCAACATGTATAATTGGATCTTTTAAATCCAGAATCAGAGAATTTAGGCTAGACTAAATCTGTCCTCAGTGTTCAGTAACTTTGGGATACAACACACATTGTAATCTTTTAAATATGACAAAACTATTTCAGTAACTTAAACAGTTTTGATGCCACATTAATTCAGTCTACTCTTAATGTTTCTGTCATAATTCAAAGACAGGAATGCCCTGCTTTTTGGAAGTTCACTTAGCTTTTATGACTGATTGTCATTAGCAAAGGGTTCAGATTTTCCTTGCTATTCGAAATTGTATAAAGTAAAAAAGCAATTACCATTGACATGGGGAAAAAATTCTGATCACTCCCAAACTTCCAAAAAATAACCTTCTCTAGGCCTGACTGCCTTAATTCCAAAGTTCATCTGGCAGTATGTTTGACCACTCACAATATTTTTATTTCTATCATAGTTCTGTGTACACACTAAAAACATTCTGCAAACCTTCTCTAAACCTATATGCTCTATCAAAATTCATCATTTTCTACAATCACAGCAGCACTGTCAATCATAGTAAAAATCTCACACAATGTTATGAATTTTTTGGGATCTGGGAATATTTATAAGTTTTTCACTATCTAAATGAAAAGTAATGCTTCACTTAATGCCATTTTGGCTTGGCAAGACTTTATAGGAACAATCTACTTTCAAATAGCAGAGGATAACCTGTATTCTAAAAATGGCACATGTCCAAATTAACAACATTGGGAACAAATTTATTAGTATCTATATGAAAGACTGCATTAAACAAGAAAGACCTTTTATCACCTCCTAGAAATTTGTAAACCATTCTCTCACTGTGTAACCCTGAAAAATATTATTGTAAAAGTAACAAAGGATCTTTCTAAGAAATAATTTTTTCCTCTCTTTGGAAGAAAAAGCAAGTTATTTTGGCACTCACCTGCCTTCTGTACATTGAGCATTTATGTTAGCTCCATTCTGAAGCAATTCCTGACAGACACGTGCCATGCCATCAATTGTCACATGATCTGTGTTTTCCGGATTAAATGAAGCCACCATGTGAAGTGGGCTTTCTTGGTCAAGATGGGTGACTGCATTAATGTCTACTTTGTTGTGGATTAAAAAAGTCGAAGAGAATTCATCACCTTCAGAAGAAAGATAAAAAATATTCAGCATTACATAAGTGCTTGTCTATGAAAAAAACAGAGGAAGAACATAATTCAGAATTAATAGCCTCCAAAAAGTTTTTTTAAATTACTCACTTGGTTTGGTTTGTTTTACAGCATATCAACCTTAATGGGTTATTTAATGTCGACAATTTTTATTGCTAGTAATATTTTTTCCTTCAAAAATCTATTTCTGGTAAGAATTTTCCTTCACTGGTAATTTTTTTTTTTCAAAAAATGTATTGCTGGTAATATTTGTTTTTCAAAAATGTATTAAAACCTATTTTTACACTTTTTACACACTCATAGTATTTTGACCAGAGTTTGGGAGTTAACTATCTGCCCATAGCTGGGACCCTAACAGGTGCTACCACCCCGAGTCGGGGTGGGCCTGGGAACATCAGCAATTAAGAGATGGTTCCACGCTCCTCAAAGCTTCCTGATCAGAAGCCTTGCTGTTGGACGCAGTTTATCGTCTTACCCAGGACACGGATGTAGTTTATCATCATACCCAGGACATTTTAATCATCTGAATTTGGTTTTGCAACATCAACTCCTGCATAATAGTCATAAACATAAGTCACACACACACACACAGAATATTCATTATTTAAAAAATATATAAACACACACACATATTTATTACATTTGTGATTGTTCACAGCCATGGTTGCAAATAGTTTTACTGCTATTGCTTAGTACAGACAAGATAATCTTAGAGGATTGCTTTGCTTAAGTGTTATGTTAACCATGTAGACTCCCAAGGGTGTATAGGGATACAGCTTCCCCACTCTAGGTGTTGCCTTAGTACGTAGATTTTTTTTAGGGAGGAGTTTCTAGTCCTATGTCCAACCGGTTTTGGATTTAGAGCTAAACTTCTTATAGATTGGTTGCCAACAAAATCTAGAGTCCAATCTGCCCTGCAGTTAACCCCTAGCTAGGCGGGGACAGAACACATGGATTCACACTTTTCCCAGGAGTATTTGTGCAAAAGCAAACAAAAGCCTTGGCTAATATTTTAACTCAGCAAAGCAGCACTTTCCATGTCAATAGCCACCAAGCACACATACTTTGCTCACTCCCAAAACCTTTTGTCAACCATTGCTATATTGCAAGTGATAATAACACAGAATTAAATTCATTCACAGAGATATTAGATTGGTTTGGTTTGTTTTATGGCATATCAACCTCAATAGGCTATTTAATGCCGACAAAAATTTTATTGCTAATAATAATTTTTTTTTTTTTTTCAAAAAGGTATTGCTGATAATTAATTTCTAGGAATATTTTTTCCTTCAAAAATCTATTTCTGGGAATATTTTTTCTTCAAAAATGTATAGCTGGTAATAATTTTTTACAAAGTATTTCCAGTATTAAAACCTATTTTTACACTTTCATAGTGTTTTGACGCCTGTTTGTGGGTTAAGTATTTGCTCGAACCCTAACAGGTGCTACCACCCCTGGTCAGAGTGGACCTGGGAACACCAGCAATTAAGAGGTGGTTCCATGCTCCTCAAAACCTCCTGATCAGAGGCCTTGCTATTGGACATAGTTTATCATCTTACCCAGGATGTGGAAGTAGTTTATTGTCATACCCAGGACGCGGAAGTAGATTATCGTCATACCCAGGACGCGGAAGTAGTTTATCGTCATACCCAGGACGTGGATGTAGTTTATCGTCATACCCAGGATGCCACTATAGAAAGAACCTATACATTATTTTCCTTTTAGAACTGTATTAACTTAGCACCTTGGAGAGTGAGGGAGAAAGAGAGCAATGGAGAAAGAGAGAGAGCAATGGAGAAAGAGAGAGAGCAATGGAGAAAGAGAGAGAGCAATGGAGAAAGAGAGACAGCAGGACGTGGGTGTAGTTTATCATCATACCCAAGACACAGAGATATTAGAGTGAAGTGAATATGAAGTCTCAGCTAGAATTTTAATTGATTAGATTTTCTAAGTACAAAGAAAAATAGATTTCTGCTTTTCCCCCAAGGGCATTAGACCAATGGAAACTGTCATAGTCAGAATTTGAACGATTTACCAATTCTTATTTTCCATAATCATTATGATTACTCCTCTTTGCACTACTAATTTTCTAAATACAAACAGAGTAAAAGATTCAAACCAACTGACCTCTTTTGATAGCTTTATGTAATAAACTCCGTCCAGATTTGTCCCTTCGGTTCACATCAGCCTTGTTGTTAACCAATGTGTTGGCAATACTTTCCTGCCTGCTTTGCAAGGCCATGTCCAGAGGAATGTCCCCACGACTGTCCAGTTCATTCAATTTAATGCTCAACTTTTAGAAAAAATGTAAAACAAAAGACTCCAGCATTAAAACATTTTTTAAAAGAAAAAATCAAAATATAAAAAAAAATTACCCTAATATCAAATAGGTCAGAACAAGTTTGTAGCATTTTTGTAAGTAAATTTCAAAAACAATGTTTAGATATTTGTACATAGATTTATTAAGTCCCATATGTGCTGTTACCTTTCACCATCTTTAAGACAGCTTCAGGAGGAGTTCATCCTCCCAGAATTTGGCATCTTTTGGGGTGTTGAAATAGATTTTACAGGCTTCCAAAGAACTGAAGTTGCTTCCATTAAGAGAATTTTGTAAGGATTGAAAAAAGTGGTAATCCAATAATCTAATGGTGCCATATCAGGTGAGTATGGTGGATGTAGTAAGACATCACAGACAAGATGTACCAATTTCTGTTGGGTCTGCAAAGAGATGTGAAGTCTGGTGTTGTCCTGATAGAAAACAATAGCCTTCTGATTAGCCAATTATGGACGCTTTTCATCAATTGCCGCTTTTAATATCTTATTGAGAAGAGTACTTATCTGAATTCAATGTCTGATTTTGAGAAAGGTGCTCACATGATGCACAATGCCCTTCTACTCCCACATTTACCTTCTTCAAATACTGACCAGTTTTTGGAGTAGTTAATAGTGGCTTATTTCATTTTCCCTAGGATATTTTTCACTCCACATTGTTGTAAACAGTTTCATACACCTATGTTCATTCTTTTCAAAAATCACAGATAGAAATGTGGTCCATTTAATTTTTTCCCTCAAATTATGAGCCAGCCAAGCATCATAGTGATTTGTGTATCAAAGTGTTTTCAAAAGATTTACAGCACCCATATTATGGAACATGATGTCCTATGTAGTCTGACTTGGATTATTTTTAATCAGCTTTTCAATTTGGTCATCATCAGCTGGAAGCTTCTTGATATTGTACATCAAAATCTCTACTTCTGAACATAGCACACCACTTATGAACACTGCTCTCAGCTATGGCACCATCTTCATAAATGGCATATATCTTTTTTGCTGTTTGTACAGCATTTTATTTTTTTACCTTTCTGAAAATAAAAGAACATCAAATAACAAAAAATTAACCTAATTTTCCTCCATTTTCACTTTTAAGGTTACAAAAAAAAAAGAAAAAAAAAAAAAAAAGTAGTATTTAATGACATTTAATGACTAGCCAACACAAAACTTAGGGTAGATGACGATATTGATCAAATTATGTCATACCTGCCCAAATAATACAAATATTTTATCTTGGTACTTACCTGAGAGTCATATTCGATGAGGTAAAGGAACACGACATCTTCTCTTTGTGCACGAATGGCAGTGTGTAACACATGTTCGGACTTGGATTTAAACATTTTGTACAAGAGGGGAGCTGGCATACTTACAAAATCTTCACTGGTAAAATCATTCTGAAAGAAAACAAAAACAAGTTGAATATTCTCATGATTCACTACAAAAATAAAGCAAAAGAAAAAATTGATCCAAAACATAAATCACAATCATCAATTGATGAGGAGGATTCAATTAACATAGGATTTAAGCAAAATCTCAAGGTTCAGCTCAGGAATGTATACTCTCCCATTTACAGTGGTTATTAATTAAAGACAATATGAACAGTACATCTTTCTTGTGTTACACAATAAAGGGAAGATTATACCAGGAACTATATTCTCACCATGGACCCAGTGAGGAGACCAATGGATTTGGTTTGGGTTGTTTTAATCAACTCCTAACAGATCATTTAATGCTGAAGTTTTATTTTCTTTGAGCTTTGGTAATTTTTTTTTTCCAATACTGTATTGCTGATAATTTTTTTTTTTTTTTTTTACTATGAAAATGTATTGCTGGTATTTCTTTTTTAGTGTATTCACTATTTGCCAATAGCTCGAACCCTAAGAGGTGCTACCGCCCTGGGTCAGGGTAGATCTGGGAACAGAAACATTGAAGAGGTGAGACCAATGGAAAACTGATCAGAAGTAATACTACTTATCTGAGCAGACCAGATTAGAAAGAATAGAACCACATCCATCAAGTTATAAGTATGTCATCCATGCATCTTCTTATGGTTCACCCTCTCTGTATTTGTTTCAAATGTTAAAAAACAAAGATGCTTTCTCTTGGAATCCCATTGTAAATTGACAATAAATAAGAGACTTTTTCTATACATTTTTACCTAATTGTTCCAAACAGAATATGAGACAATTTGCATCTACATTTTCACCTGTATTTTTGTTCATGGTCCTTCTTCAACACCTGAACTGATACATCTACAAATTAATTTCTGAAGACTAAACACTGATCTAGCTAATTTAAATAATTCAGTTAATACTTGTCTTCTAAGTTATAAGCCCATGTGAAAGATTCAGCTGAATAGATACACATCTTCCTATCTGAATTTTTGGGATGTGGTGTTATCATTATTTACTCAATGTACTTTAGACTAAATTTTTCATACATAAAATAATTCTTTATTCATGGAATATGTGGTTTCAGGAACTTTTTTTCAAATGGTCAATCTTCTCTGCCATTCCTTTCATGATCAAGCATTTATATAATTTCCTCTCATTCAAATATCTTGTGTGTGTGTGTGTGTGTGTGTGTGTGTGTGTGTGTGTGTGTGTGTATATGTATGTCCAAAGTTCAACTGGGTTCACTTCCTGTTTATATTGGTGTAAGCACCAACCTTCTTTAAGGACCTATTCAGCACTTAGTGGCAATGAGGTCACTTTCTAGGTCAACCCTCAAGGCATCTAATTCTTTTGACATTCTGATGTGATGCAAGTACAAAGTTTACTTTAGTATCTCTTCATGTGAGCCCAGTATATATTGAGGTCACCACAGGTCAACTCCTTTTAGACCAAAGACATTAAATTTGAATGGCAGGTATTTCTTGATATGAACCACATCTATTTACTGTGTCCCTTCAGAATGTTGGCAATCATGGCTTTCCCAAACTTCCCCTCATAGCTTTTAGTAAGGTTTTCACTATCTTTTCCAGTCCCTATTCTGCTAACACACAATCTTGTTAGGTAAATTACTCAGTGTTTCCTTCAGTCACTCTTGCTTAGCACGTTAAGGATTTTAGAGGCTAATTTTGTGTGTGTGTGTGTGTGTGTGTGTGTGTGTGTGTGTGTGTGTGTGTGTGTGTGTGATATCAACTCACCCAATGGTTGGAAATTAATTCTGAGCAATGATTTTTCAAGATATCAGCACCCATCTCTTCAGCCGATTGGTAAAATTTAATGCAGTTTTTCATGTTTACGAAAGACATCAAAGCATTTTCACACCTTAAATAAAAAAATAAAAAGATAAATAAAATATAAATTTTCAAGATATACATAAAAATTAATATATTACCATTTATTTTTTGGATGAACAAAAGTCTGGGACCAATTCTGTAAACCTTTCTCATCTACATTTCAGAATGATCAAAATAATGTCACTGAATGACAAATTGAATTTTGAAGTCACAATAATAATGGATTTAAGGATGTTGTAGTTAAAGAACCTGACTCATAATCAGAATAGTTACCTATTCCATCACCTATGATGGCGAATCAAACATTCTAGTAATTCACTGCAAAAACCAACAAAGAGCCAAGATTGTCATTCAATATTGAAGGAATTGATTAACAAAGAATTTACACTAAATTTCAACGTTCACTTAAGGAATTTAATTTGGTACAGATCTCATCAAAAATAATGTCAATACTCTTGGAAACAAGTAATCTATTGCCTGAATTTTGAATGTGGAGTTTTCAATCTTGGAAGATTGGTACAATAATTTTCCTACCAACATTTAGCCTGATAGTCTGAGCTCTTTTAATTCAGTACACTGTGGCCTGGAAACACCCATAGTCTGGCACTTTTTTTGAATCAGCTGCCATTAGTTCACTGAGCTGCTTCAAGGACAGCACCACACATTGTTTATAACTTTCTGTAACAGCCAACAGGAGCAGAGTGTTTTGGGGAAATGCACTTGCTCATTTCTTATATAGAGCTGCATATTTTTTTCATTCAGGATACTAAGCATATATTACTTTTTGGGTTTTAGGTTCTCATTTTTTAGTCATTAAATTGCATGAAACAATAGAAAAAAACTTGCTTGGAAGCAATACCGATTGTTCTATTTTTAGTTTTAAGTTCTAGTCTACCTTTCATAACACATAGCAATATATATGTGGAATGAGCTGGCAAGACTATGTTTACATTGGTTTTTTTAGGATGGAATTTTGTCATCCATCATCTTCTGCTGTCTGGCAATGGCCTTGTCTCAAGATTAAAGAGGTTGGATTGTACTTAAGAAATATCAAGAATGCAGCGATGGTCTAACCAGAAGAGTACAGTAAGTAAAAAAAAACAGATTTAAATGGGTTCACAGTAAATTTGTTTTTATCTTGAAACAAAAATTTGCATTAAAAGGAAAAAAAAAAGTTGCTTTTGTCTCAGGAAAAATTACAAAGAGAGAGAAGGATGTAAGGTGTACAAGGGGCGGCTAAAAAGTTCATAAGCGGACCAAGATACTCGCATGAAATGTGATAAAATGAAGTTTTTTTTTTCAACATAGTCCCTGTTGTGACCCATGCACTTCTTCCATCAGTGGTACAGTGCTTGGTGAAGAAGCTTTTATCCTGTTGGACAAAAGTCATCAATAGCAGATATGATGTCATCATCACTGATACTGATTTCTAAACAGGTATTTTTTCATGTTGGGGAACAGATGACAGATAGCGAAAAAAATCAGGAGAATAGGGAGGGTGATCAATCAGTTCAAAACCACATTCACACACAGCAGCCATTGAAAGCAATGACTTGCATGCTAGAGCTTTGTCCTGATGAAACATGACCCATTTTGTCAGTTTTCCTGAGTGTTTGGTCTTGATAGTCTTTCGTAACAACCTCAGAAAGTTGGTATAGTACCATTATATAGAAATGGAGTGTCACTGCCAACACTTGGGTTTGAACATGGATCACCAGTGAGCAAAGACAGGCAATCCCATTATTGAATTAACTGTGACCATGGGAGAAGTAGGAAGTCGCATGATGTCTAATTGATAGCATTTCTATTCTATCCTCTATCATTTGGATCGCATTTCTAGTGTATCCTCTATTACTATTGTTATAGTGGAACACACCTATTCTATAGTTAATAAACTCTCCCACCTATAATAAGTAGGAGTAGAAGAAGTCGCCCATTGAGTTGTTCAGTCAGTCGATGCCAGACGACCGTTAGTCGGATACTAAAGTATCAGCAACCATGACTAGATTTCTCTGCGTGATACCTATTATATGAAGTTCCTAACGTTTTGTACATCAAACCTATTTTAGGACCGACTTAGTACAAATACAAGCCTCCACTGTGAAACCACTCCATAACAACTATATAGACCGCTATTCTCTATTCTGTTGAATATACTATTTCTCTATTCAGATAACTATACGGGTTACTTGTTAAGCGAGTATTATCAAGCAAGTACTATTAGTGCAAGTGGTATTTGAAGGCATCTGACATCAGTATTGTTCAACAGCATACTATAGTTTTATCTGCGATTACAAAGTCTCTACTACAACAAGCATTATGAAAGTGGCAATGAGTATACGTTGGCATCACAAAAGTGGCAACGAGTGTTTGTTGACATCACAAAAAGTATTTTCTATTGATGGTGTGTCCCTTTTGAAAATAGTCAATAAACAAATTACCTTTTACATCCCCCCCCAAAAAAAAACTGAGGCCATCATCTACCCCACAGATGAAATGATCTTGGCCTTCTTTGGAGCAGGTGAGGAGTGAGTGTTTTCCCTGAATGTATTGTCTCTTTATCTCTTGCTCAAAGTGATGAACCCTAACATTCATCCTGGGTTAGGAAATGTTTAAGGAAAACAACTGGATCTGCCTCAAACAATGTCTGATCTTCACATGACGTGATCAGACTGATGCACTTTTGATCAGGTGTCAGACGACATGGCACCCACTGAGCAAAACCTTCATCATGTCAAGTTCATTGTACAGAATATTCTCAACTCTCACACAGTATATGCTAATAGCATTGGCTATTTATAGTCAATTGTCTGTCATTCATCAACATGTGATGAACACAATGTTTTCCTTGCTGATGGCATTTGCAGGATGTCAGACCTTGGATCATCTTCAAGATTCTCCTACCCTCACCTGAATTCTGCTGCCCACTTTTGCACTATTCACGTGTCATCACCTAAAGTAGGAACTATGTTAACATGAATGTTCTTGGAGGCTAAACCCTTTTTCCACAGGTACTTGATAACACTATGATGCTAAATTTTGTCTGTTTTCAAGAGAAGTCACTACTAGTTATTTTTGAAGCCTTCTTTGAACAGTCAGTGTCAGTTTGCTAAAAAAAAAAAAACAAAAAAAAACACAATGCAGTTATTAATAAAAGGAGTTGAAATTAATGCATGCAAGATTTTAACTCTAGCATCATTCCTTCATAACCAGCCTATAGTAAGATGTAAATAAACTCTTTTTTACGTAGGATGCAATCTAAAACTTATTTACACTACTTACATCAGGACTATCTTTTTTTGTTGTTATCACAATGTTTTGGCTGTTGTGCTCTCTGGCCTTCGTCATGTAATCTACAGAAAATTCCTACCTGAACGCTTTATTTAATCTACAGGGGTAGACTGTTCTATTTCCACTATGCCTATAGATATCTCATCTAGTTTTAGTACTACTAAAACATATAACATTTATCTATGCAAAAGGAACACAAGGATAATCTGAACTTTTTACTTTTCTAATCTGGAAAGAAAACTTTTTCTTTCTCATTGTAAATCTTAATTCCTTTAGAATCTACAAAACTTTTCATTCTATAAATTTTCCTCTCAAAGTTATCTGTAGAATTTTCATTAAAAAAAAAAAAAATGCTTATTTTTTAAATTGCTTCCAATCTTATTTTTTATATTAAAACACAAACAAATCTATTTTAATCCTAAACACTACCATTTGTAACTTCCCCACTCATATTATAAAAGATGATTGATTTTTATATAAAATTAATGAGACATGATTTACCTGGCACACAAGCTGTGTAACTTAAATTTGACAGACGACTTGAGTAAGTCAAGTAGAAATGTTTCATCAGCTTGGATGTTGATTTGATCTGTGTAAACCCATTTCAGAAGTGCATAGGCCACATCGAAGTTGATGGCTGAAAAAAATAGAAAAAGAAAAAAAAGTTTTTTTTTTGTTTTTTTTTGCTATGACCGATCTTTCACTCAGCTCCAAAAATCTGTTTCAAAAGAAATTTAATGCATGGACATTTTTTAAAAATTAATTTCTTTTTTAATCTGCAGGTTTTGACTATACACAGATATGTATGCAATGAAATTAACAACTGATGTAGCAATTCATGGAAAAAACACAAGATTTTTGACTATAAGACAATCAGATATGTATGCAATAAAATTAGCGACTAATTTAGCAAAATTTTTATTTTGCTGGAACCCATCAAATAACAAGAGAGAAACTACTCTTTATATAAAAATTTGAACAGAATTTCCAAATTCTTTCCTCATTCAGAGAAACTGTTCAGTAGAAAAACATTTTCTTGATTACACTTTTAGAGGGGCTTATTTTCTATGAAAACAGAATGGCCTACTTGAAACGGATATTGTGATTTTGAAATGGAAATTATTTTTCTAACAGATTTGCCAACTGCCATTTTTATTTGTTACTATGTTTGCCTTTCTTAACCCATTTGTCCGACAGACTTCAAATGATAAGGTTGGCAATGTTTTAATACATCACTCTTACCTCCCGACAGTTTACACTATTTAGGAACCAAGTTGGCTTGATTTAATAAAAATAAAAAAAAAGTGGAGGGAATATTTCATCTTTTCGCTTTATCCTTTCTTTTTCCCTATGACACATAGTAATGGAGGTTGCAAGCAATTTGTCTTTCCAGAAAGCCAAATTTTCGGAATTAAGCTATTTTAAAAAAATTTATTTAATAATTTCAATAAAGAGAACAAACAATAATGTAGCTTTTTGTGTCTAGATGACTTTTCAAAAATTTATTTATGGGAATTAGTTTAAAACTGGACCTTTTCTGTTTGCCTACATTATTCATTTTTTTTTTCTTTTTTTTTTTTTAAATTAATGATCGTTTGGTGTCTTTACAGATTTCAAACTGGCAACCTTGCGTGCACACACCCAAATTAATTTTATTCTTGTAAGAATTCAAGTAAGATATTTTTTTAAAAAACAAAAAATTTAACTAAAGTCCCGCATAAAACAAAAAAAAAATATCTTTGGAAGACTAGATGTTTGTTTTACTACAACATCCTTTTCAAAAAAAAAAAAAAAAAAAAAAAAAAAATCAAAATAATTTTTTAAAAATAGTACTAGCTACTATGTAAAAAAAAAAAAAAAAAAAAAATACAACATATTGCTTGTAGAGATCTATTAAAAAAAAAGCCATATTTCACTTGTATGTCAAACTGGAAGCCTGGACTAATAAAAATTGATTTTTTTTTTTAAACCTAACATGTAAAAGCAACAGGCTGCTTTATACAAACAACCCACAACCTCACATAATGGATCTTCTCCTCCAAAAAAGAAACAAAGGAAAATGACTGCAATTTCTAAAATTTGTTCACAAACCAGAGTGGAACAATTTCCAGAAGATTTTTATGCCAATGGCAATGTACTTTTCTGCAAATTTTGTTATCATAGTGTTGAGCTTGTTAGGGTGGACACTATAAAGTACTATATTAAGTTTAAAAACCATTTGGCATAAAAGGCTTCTAACAACCAACCGACTATGAAACAGACTACTTACTATGATAACAACTTTGATGAAAAGTAAAGATTTCATCCTTGATTTTGTTTAAAATGTGCATGTGACATATCTGTCAATAAAATTGACAAGATGAGACCATTTTTGTTAAAGTATTATAAGGAAGATGGTGCTATTCCTAGTGTGAAATATATTAGGAAACTATATCTACCAAAATTGTTTGATAGACATTTTGCTGCCCTAAAAATCAAGCTTGCCAACAAAACCCTAAGTATCATAGCAGATGAAACAACTGACCACCATGATCACAGCATTTTGAATGTGACTGCAAGCATTCAAGGGGAGCCATTTCTTAGAAATGTTGTCACTAGGAAAGCAAGCTGTTACTCATGTTGACATTGCATTTGATGATATTACTGCTTTTGTAACTGATTCAGCAGCATATTGTAAAAAGACACATCGGGATGTTTTATCTAATACTAGCAGTAGAGCCCGGCGTTGCCCGGGGATGTAACAGTAAGAGATAGATCAAGTATCGACTATCATAAAGACTGAAAAATAAAATTGACAAAGATTATTGTTTAAGGTTGACGGTTAATTAGTTTTTTTTGTTTTTTTTTTACGAATTGGTCAAACTCAAACAAAAACATTGTTTACAATCGTTATGAGTCTATCGATTGGTGAATAGAATTTTATTATAAACAATTGTCTTGTAAATGGAATTTTAAAGCATTCTGAATGTAAATAAAAAAAAAAAAGTGTGCAAGACAATAAGAAATACTACCTGCCAAAAAAAAAAAAAAAAAAAAAAAAAAGTGGATGTTTGTTTTATCGGCTGAAAATGTAAGAAATCCGATCCCATATATAAAGGAACACACACACACACAAACAACCTGGGTTTTTTAACCTAAGTCACTCCACGGAATTGCTAAAACATAGAGCATAGTCTGATGAAAAAGACGCTAAAGTTTATGAAAATAAAATTTTATCGTCAAAATGCTTATGTTTTTATGAAGAGGATAGACTAAATTTTTTTTTAATTATTTTAAAAAATTTTTCCATCTTTTTAGAATATTCTAAATTTTGATTTAAAAAACCTTGTTTCTCTTTGTCGCAACAAGGGGTAGTAAATAACATAGATAATTTTTAGCGTGTTTTTTTGTATTTACACACATTAATTTGGAAAATCTTGCAAAAATAAAAATAATTGTCAGATGTTAATGAAACTTTCAGAAACTATTCACAGATGATCGAAATTATTATAAATATGTTTTTTTTTTTTATTAAAGTCATGGCAGAAATATTTTTTTATATTTATTAACACCCCATAACTAATTTTATGAAAAACTCTAGAAATTCAAGACCATCGGTTTTAGTGATTACAATAGTTAAAAGCACAAGGCTTTGAAGAATGCAAATCATGTATTCTTTTTGGGTTTTTTTTGGCCAACGTACCTGAAAATCAGCTCTGAATTGTAACATACAAAACTCAATAAAACAAATATATTATTTAGTTTCAAATGCTTTTATTTGTTTTAATTTGTTTTTATGAATATAGACAATATTTTATGGAAGCAAAAAATTTTTTGAATTTTAATACAATTATTTCTTATTTCTTTAATTTTAAAAAGATTTTTAAAAAATGTTTAAATTGAATTTTAAAAAATATTTTAACATTAGTTATGGAGAAGTTAATTTGAGTTTTCAATTTCAACTGAGAAGGGTACCTACAAGTAACAGTATCATCTTATGAAATTTAACTACTGCTAAACTTTAATTTATATGATCTTATTTTTTATATTAATCTCAGTTATGACATTTTTCCATAAATGAAATATCAAAATTAATAATAAAATGAATGGAAATACAAATAACACAGTAAAATGTAATAAATGTACATAAAATTATAGTATTTTATGTACATTTTCTGATAAAATTTCATAAGAAAGGTACCTAAATTAATTAGATACCTTTTTTCTTATGAAATTTAATCACTATTAACAGTCTTATTTTTTAATTTCTTTATATTTTCCATAAAGCATCGTAAACGTAAAAATGAAAGCTAAGTACAAAAAAATAAAATAAATAAAAAATTAGAGCGCTGAAAGTTTTCCTTAAAAGTAACGAGGTAAATAATTTGTTCACTTAAATAATTTCACTTCCTTCCAAATTTTGTTTTCGTCAAGTTCGGCGTCTTTTTCATCATGCTATGCTCTTTTGTTTACATTTTCGTGGGTGAGTTGTCCCCCTTTCATTCTCACGATGTGTCTTAATCGTGTTTTCAAATTGATTTTCTTAAAAAAACAACTGTTTTTCCCATTTTCGGTGCCATTAGAACCACCAAAAGGTAATTTTATGTAGTCCTGTGAAGTTTTGTTGAAATCGGCTAAAAAATGTAGGAAATTCGGTCCAACATATAAACGTTACACACACACACACACAACCTGCGTTTTATAATAAGTAAGATATTTGTAAACAGTCAACACACATTTTACATCTTGTTGGTGAGGTATTTGCACACTGGCCACAATTTTATTGGTGAGGTATTCACACACTGACCACAATTTGATAATGTTGCTCATCTTAATACTTTTATTAAGTCAGTTTTTTCAAAAAACCTGGATGAAAAATAGTGATATCTGTAATGGCTTGAAGCCTACTTGCCTAAGCAACTAGTGAAGCTCCTCACTGTTCCAGTTGTCACCCAATAGAATTCCTGGCTCAATTCAGCCAAGTATCACTCTTCATATGTTCAATTCTTCAAACAAGAAAAAAAGCCATGGCCTGACAATAGACCAAATTTTGGAATTAGTAGATGATATTAAACTGCACTATGCATCATACCATAATTTACATCTCAACTTGCATTTCATCAATGAGAACTGCACTTGTTTAATAAAAGCCTTGAGGAGACTAAGTTACCACTTGCATGTATTGTGTACAACCTAATGGAAGATTTAATGCATTACCACGATAGTGGTAGGTTGAAAACAACATTTGATCTAAAAACTTATCATCTTTTATCTGAACTGGAAAGCATAAAGAGGAATAAGGTCATATCAAATTTGCAGGATGTATTCAGTACAGCATTTTCAAAATTGAACAAATGCTTGAATACTTATCCAGTATAAAAGTTTTACAAATCAGCTTGTCTATTTGATCCTAGACATCTGCTATGGATTAGCCATAACATTGGCAGTTTTGCAACCACCAAAAACTTGCAAGATCCATCCACTAAACTCTTTGAAAAATTTCAAATTTATATAAACTACAAAGATGACCTAGCTTTCAGCATTTTGGAGTGCCAATAAGAGCAGATTTCCCATTCTGTCACAGATTACCACTAAATTGTCACTTATTTCATTCTTTTAGTAGTTGGTGGTGCTACTTTTCTGTAGGTTTTGCTACTTTCACTTAATTCTTATTTAGGAGTGTAGCATTCTTTGCAGGGGTTGTCCCAGAAACTCATCAAGTTAAGATTTTGTACATCATACTTCTGTCCTTACTCTATCAAGCTGGAGCAACTTATCCAATCGGCAGATATTCCAGCTAGTAAAATTTTGCATTGTCCTTTTATTTTCTTGTTTTAATAATATTTACATATTGTAACACTTTCTCATTAAGTATTATAATGAAGCAAAAACAGAAAAGAGGGAAAAATGAAATTCTATACTGAAAGCAGAATTCCCTAAAATTTGAAACAGAAAATTGGTCCCCTTACACTTTTGGTTGGAAAATGCTAAAATAATTTTGAGATCTGCATTTTAGGTACGTCAAAATCAAGCAGAAATTAAACTTTCTAGATGTTTTTTTTATACTATTGTTCACCCAATACATGGCCTAAGAGCCACTCAATGCAGAGAGTTACTTACTAAATGAAGATGTTGTAAGGACATATACAGAGAAAGTAAGAGGTGGATATTATGAGGATATATAGAATAGATAACAGTTGACCCTAGACTTGAGAAATGTAGGAATCAGAAAAGTATGCTTTCAGGAGTTTGTTCCACAATGTAACAGTTCTGAAGAAGAAACTGAGTAGATTTTCCCCCTTACCAATGGAATACGAAGTGAAGAAGGATGCGTCAACTGTGTATGTACATGTTCAGGCTGTGAAAGCCTGCACTATTGTAACTAAGGAATGTAGATCGTTTTATATTACTATCATCTTACTTAATATAACATTATAGAAATAGCAATCAAATAATGAGGGGTTAGCAACATTTTGTCTGTGAGAAACATGCTGTAAAGTTGAAAATAATTCATTACCCAAAAGGCTCAAGGAATGCTTTTGAGCTCTGTCAAGGCTGGCAAGTGAAGATTAGGTAGCTCCAGACCAAATATGGGACAGCAAATGTGTAGGAATAAACGACGAAAAAGTGTGACAAAGCAAGGCGATAGATACCTTTCTGAAACTATATCTTAAGAGATAGAAAAATGGTCTTCGAAACAAGGAAAATAGTGCTGAGCTGTTATGTAATATCTAATCTCCTTATATGACAGTGAATGGTGGACAATTTCATCAGAGATGAAAAATATACTTGAAGTAATATTTATGCTTCTACCAACAGCTGAGAGTACTATGGACAGAACATGTGAATAATGAGGAAGTTATGATTAGAATAGAAACTATAAGGAAACTACTACTGACAATCAGAATAAAACATGAATTTTCTGAGCCATATAATGAGAAAAGGCTTATTGAAGCCAAGAGAAGTAAGTAACCTACTTGACAAGTTTAAGTAATGGATGGTCAAACAAGAACAAAGAAAAGTAGTAAAGAATCAAGTGTTAATTAAAAAAAAAAAAAAAAAAAAAAAGGAATTATGGAAAGCCATGATCATCCACATCCTGAAGATGTTTTGTTTGGTATGGGATGGTTACATACGACAAATTTTGCATGAACTGTCTACACTATAGAAAGTTTGGTTTGGTGTGTTTTACGCCATTTCAACCTCAATGGGTTATTTAATGCCAACAACTTTTTTTTTTTTTTTTTTCCTGGTAATATTTTTTTTCCTAGTAATAATGTTTTGTCAAAAATCTATTTCTGGTAATATTTTTACCTCAAAAATGTATAGCTGGTAATATTATTTTAAAACATGTATTGCTGGTAATATTTTTTTTTTTTTTTTTTCAAAAACACATTGCTGGTAATATTTTTTTTCAAAAATATATTGCTGTAAATGTTTTTTTTTTTTTTTTCAAAAATCTATTGCTGGTAATGTTTTTTTTCTTCAAAATTTTATTTCTGGTAATAATTTTTTACAAAGTATATCTGATGTTAAAACCTATTTTTACACTTTTATAATGCTTTTTACCTCAGTTTCGGGGGTTAACTATTTGCCCATAGCTGGGACCCTAACAGGTGCTACCACCCCGGATCAGGGTGGATCTGGGAACACCAGCAATTATGAGGTGGTTACACTTCTCAAAACCTCCTGATCAGAGGCTTTGCTATTGGACATAGTTTATCATCTTGCCCAGGATGAACATATACATTAGTTTAGATCGTCATAGCACCCAGGATGACATCAATGAGAACAAAAGAAAATACATTAGAGAAGGAAAAGAGACAGAACAAGAAGAGAGAGAGAACAAGAGCGAGGAGAGAGAGAGAACAAGATGGGGAGAGGGAGAGAAAAGAGCGAGGAGAGAGAGAGAACAGAGAGAGAGAGAGAGAACAAGAAAGAGAAAATGAGAAAGACAAGAGAGAGAGAGAGACAAGAAGAGAGAGAACAAAAGAGAGAAGATGACAAGAGAGAGAGGAGAGAAAAAGCTGAGGAAAGAGAGAGAAAAAAAAAGAGAGAACAAGAGGGGGGAGAGAGAGAGAGGGGGAGAGGACAAGGGGGAGAGAGAGGCGAGGGGGGAGAGAGAGGACAAGAGAGGGGGGGAGAGAGAGGACAAGAGAGGGGGGGGAGAGAGGACAAGAGCGAGGGGGGATGGGACAAGAGCGAGGGAGGGGGGGAGAAGAGAGCGAGGGGAGAAAAGAGAGAGAGAGACAAGAGGGGAGAAAGAGAGAGAGAGAGAACAAGAGAGGGGAGAGAAAGAGAGAGAGAGAGCGAGGGAGAGAGAGAGAGAGAGAACAAGAACGAGAGGGGAGAGAACAAGAACGAGGGGGAGAGAGAGAGAGAACAAGAGAGGGGGGGGAGAGAGAGAACAAGAAGAGCGAGGGAGAGAGAGAGAGAGGAGGGGAGAGAGAGAGGACAAGAGCGAGGGAGAGAGAGAGAGAGGGGGAGAGAGAGAGACAAGAGAGCGAGGGAGAGAGAGAACAAGAGCGAGGGGAGAGAGAGAGAAGAGAGAGCAAGGGAGAGAGGAACAAGAGCGAGGGGGGAGAGAGAGAACAAGGAGGGGGGAGAGAGAGAGAACAAGAGAGAGAGAGAGAGAGAACAAGGAGAGAGAGAGAACAAGAGGGAGAGAGAGAGAGAGAGAACAAGAGCGAGGGAGAGAGAGAGAGAGAGAACAAGAGCGAGGGAGAGAGAGAGAGAGAGAACAAGAGCGAGGGAGAGAGAGAGAGAGAGAACAAGAGCGAGGAAGAGAGAGAGAGAGAACGAGAGCGAGGGAGAAAGAAAGAACCAAAGAAAGAGAGAATGAGAGAGAGAAAGACATTGACACAGATGACAGCTGCAGGATAAATGATTGATTGTGAGTGTATTTATGTGGATAACAAGAGATGTATTCATGTGCCTGACGTTACTCAAAATGTGTTTGTAGAGACTACAGCTCGCCGTGTGAGTGTGTGTGAGTCAGATCTGGTTCTTGTTATTTTAGTATCAATGAAATTAGTCACTCTCGCTGATAACAAGACAGATGCATACATGCATACTTAAAGTTAAAAATACTTTATGGAAGAGCCAAATTTAATGCAGACTTGCCAGTAAGAAATATTTAGTAAATATCCGATGCAGTACACTGCATGTGGCAAGAGCAGATTTATTCAGTAATTATTTATTAAGAACACTATAATGTAGCACTAGTATAGGTGATAAGGAAATTGAACAATGAATAAGCTGTGCTAAGTTTAGTTTCACACAATACCACAAACTGTTACAAAACCAAAACATTAAACTTGAGTCATGTTCTTAAATAGCGCTGTCAGATCGAGACTTTCATGTAAATGTTATATATAACACCAAACCCATTTAAACTGTCAGCTGTATACTACTCAGATTAATGGTTAAAAATGACTTCAAATGAATGAAGTCTGTAGGTCTTGGCAAGGACTATCTTTCTTTGAACCTTGTGGACTGGTGCTACAGAATCACAAAGAACTGTATCAAATAACAGCAACACTTGAAGACTTGTAACAACTAAAATGAATAGCACATCCCTAAAGGAAAATGACATAATCAAGATGATGATGCTTCCCACTACTTCAAACAAAAGATTAGGAAAGAAGACCCACCCCCATCAATGCTGGAAAGAGTGATAACTGTTAGTGAATTTGAAAAACCTATTTTCCTGAAAAATTGTTTTAACAGAAAGATTTTGCAAATTATAACCGAAAGTAAGACTGGCGCTGAATGTTTCCTTATAAGGAAATAGCTAATATTACCGTTACCATTTATCCATTGCTGTCCCCAATGGAGCATAAGCTTTCTAAAAAGATATAAAACTTGCCACAACTATTCAGTATTTATTGTTAACTGACAAGTGAAAACTCAGCATGGATGATTTTCATAAAATATGCAGATTGTTTTGTTTTTTGAGAATAATTCAGCTTGCAAAGCAAGATAGGGGCTATTGGTGGTTGAATTTACAAAGAAAAATGGAGAGTAAGTAGAAAAAAGTTTGGGAATTAATAAGCTTATTAATGCAACATACCTGAGAAGTCCAGTTCTGATACTTCTGAGAAATCAGCCCCACAAGCCCAGTCATCTGTGCGTGATTGAAGAATGAATTTATGAGCCTTGATTTTCTGCCCACCCTCAAGGAGAATGGTTATATCACTGCAACAAAAGAAATAAAAATGAATGCAATATAATATTTTCATAATGCAGGGTTCTTCAGTTTTTTGAGAACATGTCTTTCAAGAGCTCAGTCTTCTAACTTGTTTTTATTACTTTCTCTTTTCAGATAAAGTCAGGCGTCAAGTTGACTTGGCAAATGAAAAGTCATGCTGTAATCATTGACATAAAAGTACAAGATAGTGATACAAAGATAGCTCACTTCCAGAAAGTTACCGGATCTTCTGTTATCAAAGTTCGAGAGGCGCTGGATGTTACTGACAGGAATCCAATGGCAGTAGCTAAATGCAAAATAAATGCTAAGCGTCATAACACAATCAGAACCCCTAACTTTGTAAAAAAAAAAAAAAGACCAGAAAATAATTGATAAGAGCCCCAGAAAGTCAATCAGAACCACTGCAAAAAGTTATCAGAGTATACCGTCAAAAGAGTTGGGAATGAAAACATCTGGTACAAGTCATGTGATACAGAGAGGTCAGTTCATGTTGGAAATGAAGAGAGAGATCATTTGATCAGTGTAAAGCACTTGTTAAACAAGCTAAAATACCAAGAGGCTGGAATATTTTTTGGTTTTTCTCCAATGAGAAAAACTTTGATCAGGACCAAAAGATAACCAAAGGAACAACAATTGGCTCTGCAGAGACATGATAGAGATTCCAAGGGCCATGCATACCAAGTTCCCAGCAACTGTAATAGTTCTGGGAGTCGCCAGCAATGAGGAAAATGCCATGAATCCTCACTTCTTTCCTCATTGTAGTTGACAGGAAAGCAAAAAGCTAGAAGAGGCCTCCACAGGCAATAATTGCAAAACTCTTACAACAGAACTTATTATCTAACAATTTCAATGGTAAAATGATGAGACCTAACTGCCAAAGATTAAATTCATTAAATCGAGATATTAAAGAGGAAAGCTCATTAGAACACTTGCCATGAAAATATTTTCAGAAAAGAAAAAAGGCAATGATGTTACGGCAGTGACCATTTTTCACAAAAACGTTTCTACTTCATTCTCTCCAAATACACTGATGCTACAATCATATGTTGCTTCACTATTCATTGTAAAATCTCTTTGGATGTAACTCATTGTAATATCTCTTTGGATGTAACTCATTCTCGAGCTGCGATATTGCCAAAGCAAATATTAGGTTGTAACAAAAGTTCACAACATCTATTTTTTTTAAACAAAAGATTTTATTCAAATATATTCATATTTTCATTATCCAATCAAAGTATTTACATTTATTTACATTCAGACTAAATACCTTCAGCTTTGTCATTGTTACATTATCACAACATTTCTGATATTGTGCTTTCATGCCTTCTTCAGGTGACTATCTGGGTAACCTTCAGGGAAAGTTGAACAAAACTCTTTAATTAATCTACAGAGATAGGTTGTTCTCATTCTGTTATCCATACTTAGGGATATCTCATCTTGTTCTTTTTTTAGTATTGCTCAGTTATTGCTTGCTTAGTTTCCAGCAAATCTAAATGTGTACTACCCGGCCCTGGGATTGAAACCACAATTACTATGCTACCAAATTCATGAACCAATGCTTTAATCCACTAAGCCATTGTCTCACAGCACATTGGCTTCAAAGCAGAATGAACAATTTATATTAAAAATCTTCAAAAATAAGTTTAACAGCTTGTCCCTGTGTAAGACTAACCTTAATGAATATCTTAATGATCAGAGGGGATATAAACTTAGAAAGTCATGATTAAAAGTTCCTCGTAAGATGAAGAAATGATCTGTCAAAAATTAGAAATGAACATTCTTAAAAATAAAAACAATTCTTCCCAGAATTAAAGTAATGTGAAACTCAAAAGATTTAGAACAGATAGATTTGATCTCTAACCATAGGCTTCCATGGCCAAATTGGTTATGGTGCTACACATAAAAAACAAAGTTTCCTAGCATATAGAATGCAAATCAAAAGTTACTTCAAGTCCCTTACATTAACAAAGCAGAAAAATATTCATCCACAAACGTTGTGACAAAAAGTATCAGCAAGATGAATATAAAAACTACCTTAATTCAGAAACCAATATAATTTAATATGTTATGGGATCTTACCCATAATAATGGACTATTCCATACTTAATAAATACTGTGCCTCAGGAGCAGGCAAGGAGTCAGTAGTTCAAGTCGAGTCAGAGGCTGTCCGAAACAGAGTTGCGTTCAGACAATTACTGCAAGACATTGGAATAGCGATACTGGTCGAGACTACATTGTTCTCTCTACTAAACTGATTCTTCATACTAACACTTCTACTTCTCTGTATATATTCCTGTTTGTAATATACCTGTGTTCGAGTTCTTCTTTATTGGTTTTACCTTGGACTATCACCGTGGTACAAGGAACCGGACCATAACATAATATATATCTATATTTTAATAGAAGATTCAGATTTTATACACATTCAAGAACTGATGTGATGCGATATTTCACAGATAACAGGGGAGAGAATATCATAAGGGAAACAAAAGAATTGCAAAAAAATCTTTCTTTGTTAAATCTCAATATTGTAATTTTCTCTAAAAGTCACATTTTTTCTTCTTAAAAACCAAACCAACAAAAAATTACAAGCTGTCTCAAGACATGATTTTCTTACCTGTAAATTTCTTTATTAAATAAGTCAGCTACTTTTCTGAGGAGTCGAGGCACAAAGTTATTATCATCACTGTCTGCAGACTGACCCAAGGAGGCCAATGCCACCTGGTATTTTTTCTCCACCTCAGCCAGACGTTCCTGGAGCTTGACATACTCCTCCCGAAGCAAACCGAGGTGATTCTGTAATTTACTCACCTCACCTGTAACAAATACAACAATCATTAAAGAGGTACTGAAAGACAAATACTCAAAACTTGATTCAGTGTAGGCCTAGAGAACATAAGATCTTAAGGATTTTAACATCAAAATTCCATTCATACTTTGTCTTTCCCTTTTTTTCACAAATACAAAAACTTAAAAGGCTCATACATATGTACACACACACACACACTATATAAGTGTGTGTGTGTGTGTGTGTGTGTGTGTGTATACATGCACACAAAAATCACTTCGGTTCCTTGAGCATAAGGAAATCACATCTGTAGTTTCAATCAGGATATTTTTAAGATCCAGTAGGCAGCCACTCACCCACACTTCCTCTTTCACCAAAGATTGGGATTCCTATTTTCTTTCTTTTCCTGTTTAAGAACCTTCTCTTAATTGGACTGTCTTTTCTCCAACCCCATTGTTATTTACCTGTAAAAAAAACAGGCAGGAGTAGGTACATGCTTTTCTCCAAATGCATTAGTGCGAATTGAATACGAGTAATTCATACCAATATACAATCCATCAATTCCTTTTCTGTACCAATAATCACTGTACAGTGCTTCCTCGATTATCCAGACACCTTGGAAGAGTGATTAAAAAATGTTTGGATAATTCAAAATTCCAGATAACTGAATACCCAAATTATTGAAAAAGAATGAAGGAAAAAAATCATTTTCTGAAAGAAATTTAATATTTACATAGGTACCCCCAAAAATGATACATGATGAATTTATTTTTTTTTTTTTTTTTTTTTACAGCTCAATAATCTTTTGCAGGTTATTTAAAGCCTGAAAATATTTTTAGATTGTAATTTTTTTTTTTTTTTTGGAGATAATGATTTACTGATACAAGTCCTGTTAATTAATTATCCCATAGCTGGGAGTGTGTGTGGGGGGAGGGGGACTCATATATCTCCCATCTCACTTATATATCAACTCCAATACTAATATATTTTTCAGTCAAAAAACATCAGATTATACGAATACACTCCCGCTTTAAAAACTCAGACTACATTTGTATGCAACAAAGGAATATAAAAAGATCACTATTAGGCATATATATATATATATATATATATATATATATATATATATATACACACACACACACCTAGTGTAGACAGTCATAGAAAACACAACCGTATCTGCTTCAGTTTTTACTTACAATCAAAGCTATAGGAAAAAAAAATTGATCTCCACAAAGACTATCATTATTAACTGCCACCAAAACCAGGAATACAGGACAGAATTCAAAAGTATGGAATCTAAACAAGATGGCTACCTAACCAAAAGCTTATTCTTGGGATGTTCTTTGGCACTGGTATATCCTCCTGAAATCAATATATCAAAGAAGAAAAAAAAACATACTTTGGACCTCCACAGAAAAGAAAATAATTAGTTTGATGAAAGCCACCAGAAAAGAAATTGGTCAGTACACCAGGCATATACATCCTGCTAATGCAAAAAGGAAGTTTTATACCATCCTCCAGCAAAAATACTGGAACTTCATCTCCAATGCAAAATAACACCTGCCCGGATTCAGAATGTCAATATATACATATTTTGTTGTTGTTGTTTTCTTTCTAGTAGAGCAGGGGGCGGATCATATCTAAGCAAAATTTGTGATGAAATCCACAATACAATTAAAGCAAAGAGTTACTGCAGAATTATAAATAACAAAGCTCTTATTTTTTCAGGTTTTTTTTTAAATGTCTTTTTAAAACAAAGAGTATGTATAACCAATGGCACTTTAGATGATAAATATGACAAACATGATTGAAATTGGAAATTGGCTGTCCAATTTCCAATTCCAAGACATTATCCATTACACCACCCCCACATCCAAACTTACAGCAATTAGTATTCCCAAATGGTCACCCATCTAGTTACTGACCAGACTCTACACTGATTAACCAGTGATCATATAAGAACCAGTGGCTAGAAAACTGAACAAAAGGTTACAATATCAAAGAATTCTTTCTTGGTATTAGGAAAAAATATAAATTCTGGCCTTTAACTAGAAGAAAGTCTATATGCAGCAAGGCTATACCATGACTGGTGTCAAAGGTTGATTGGTGATCTAATTTTTATTTCTAAGGAAGGAAAAATATCTTTCATGTTAAAAAAAAGCAATACCATGAATTTTCAAGTTTGTGTCACTTTTGGAGTATAGCGTAAGAGGTGAAAGTGTGATTGGTCCTTAATGAAAGAACATATTGCATCTCGCGAATCCGGCTCCAAGGATTATTGGTGTCTCTGAAAGGGCGTACTTAACAATAGCAAACCCTCTATACCTCCTTTGTTCAACCAGTTTGAGGTTCTGACCTCTTCTGCTGACAAAGCTGAATGCTTTGCTTGGAAATTCTCATTCAGTTCAATGCTCGGCTCTTCCGGTGTACCCACACCTGATTTTCCCCTTAGAACTGAGGCTCAACTCAGTGAGTTGCACATAACCCCGTTATTGGTTCTGGGCATCATCTCTAAATTAGCACCCCCCCTCACAAAGCTAGTAGTTGAGACAGGATACCAGGCATTGTTCTGAAGAAATGTGTGCCTAAACTGGCTCCTGCCCTCTCCAAATTATATAACTACTGCCTCAATGAATCTTGTTTTGCACCCTGTTGGAAGTCCTCATCCATCATTCCTGTCTTTAAGAACTCTGGAGACCCTTCTGACCCTTCTAATTACCGTCCTATCAGTCTCCTACCACTCTTCGGTAAAGTCTTTGAAGCTTTAATCAACGCTGAAGTGGTTATGCACCTTGCATCCCATAATCTAGTCTCCAACAAGCAATATGGTTTCTGCTTTGCCCATTCTACAGTTGACGTATTTACAGCCATAACTGAAATTGTTCACCAAGCACTTCATAATAACAGAGAAGCTTGTGCCGTGGCTCTTGAAATCTCCAAAGCGTTTGATAGGGTTTGGCATGCCGGCCTTCTTCACAAGCTTTGGGGTTATGGAATTACAGGTCAATTGTTCGACTTAACCATGTACTGAAGGTCGTTCTCAACGGATTATCCTCCAGCTCCTATCCCACGAACTCAGGTGTTCACCAAGGCTCTATCCTAGGCCCTACTCTGTTCCTTATCTTCATTAACGATCTTACTGATGTCATAGGTTCCCAAGTAGGCATCTATGCGGACAACACTACTATCTACACCTGCCTCAAAAACAAATCTAGTGTCGCCGACAAAACTAACCTGGCCGTTTGTCTTGAAAAGAACCTCTAATCGGTTGCGGAGTGGGGCAGGAATTGGCTGGTTCACGTTAATGCCTCAAAAATAAAACTGCTCTCTATTACTCACCAGAGAGAACCATCCCTGCCTCCCATTAGAATGTCTGATGCTCAACTCCACAAGAGCACCTCTTTGCGACTGCTCGGTCTCACATTGTCTGCTGACTTGAGATGGAACAAATACATTGTCAATAGATTCGTCCACTGTTAGGATAGTTGGCTCCCTATGCTGCACCAAGAAATTTTTCTTGCCAAGTCGATCCTTCAAATCTACAAATCAACCATTCGCCCTTGCATGGAGTATTGTCTCTATTCTAATTGTCTCAATGTCCTTGATAAAATCCAAAGATGAATATGCAATGTAATTGGCCCTGATCTGGCATCTCGTCTGCAGCCGCTCTCTCACTGTTGCCTTCCACTGAATTTTTTACAAATACTTTCATGGTAACTGCTCCGATGAGCTGCTTTCACTGGTTCCAAGACATCATGAATTTAAGCATTCAACTAGGCTGGCATCTTGCTCTCACCCTTTCACTGTCGAAACTCTTAAATGTAGCCGTCTCTTCTACTCCAATAGCTTCATGTCTTGCACTTCTCACCTGTGGAACTTTCTCCCCATTTCTTGTTTTCCCAATAGCTATAATCTCCAACTATTCAAATGTGACATCAATCGACGTCTCCAGATGCCGTGATCTGTCCCCTAACCTTCTCCTCATCCTTTCCTCTATCACTCCTCTTTGTTCTCACTCCAACTCTGTAACCCCTTGCATGCTAGTGGTTTCCCGCCTTGCTTGGAGTTGAATGCTTAAAAAAACCAAAAAAAACAAACAAGTACAGTCTTAGGTCTATTGAACTTGAGTGTTAAAGGAATTATTCGTTGAAATGAGTGAAAGAAAGTAAATCTTTACATGTCAGGTTTGTTTTGATCAGAGATATGACACACTGTCAGATGGAGGTGACAATGACACCTGTGACAATCAAGTGAACTAAGGGCGAGATTCTAGAACATGGAAAATATTTCACTAAAGGTGGATATGAACGATACACGACAATTGTGATTGTCCCGCCAATGAGAGAAGGGGACTAAAATGGAGATTCTCATCTTCCTCTCTGATACTTACAACAAAAGGTCATTATACAAGTTGTTATTTTTACACTTGTTAATGAATGTTCCTGAAATTAATTAAGTTTACCAGCAACACTGGTGAATTTAGTCTTTCACAAGCATAGCCAGGACAGAGAGGCGCCAAGCCTGATCTCCAACTGTTCTTCACCGATATTCCTGCAGATGTTGAAACATGCAGGGGATTGGTGCAGAGATGTGCTCACTAGAGATTGACCAAAGTAAAAGTGGCATTCAGCAAAGTATGCAGCAACAATGCCACAATACTTCTAAAATCCAATAGTAGATTTCATTAAGTTTGCCAAAGCATTCTCATCTTTTTCGTGCTGATTTTAAATTTTGTTGAAATATTACCACATTGCTCAGGTCATTTTGTATGATGCATGTATATTAACCCTGGAAACTCCCATTTAGAGTATACAGCCACAGCCTCACCACATGATGTGCTGCTGCTGTGTTTCCTGTAGCAAGTATGTTTTTACAAGGTGAAGTTGGTAGCCCCATAACCAATTGGCTTTGGATCCTCAGTTGCGCTTCTAGACTGGTAAACAACCAAAGCTAAAGAGCTCCATTTGCCCTGATATTAACTCCCAGCTGAGGAGAGAAGAGATTGGTTCATATATTTCCTCGGGT